GAAATTGTTGGTGTTAGACGTTTTATGAAAAGAACTTGTGATGGTCTGGAACCTCTTACTACTATAAGCGTTACCTTTGTAGGAACTGTTCTCCCTCAGTATGTTTATTTAGACAACTGGCGTTACAAAGTTTTCACTTATATTCCTCCTCTCATGCAATGTTTTAAATGCATGAAATTTAGACACAGTGCCAAAGTATGTAGAAACAATCAGGTTTGTTCAAAGTGTTCAGGTGGTCATTCCTATAAGGAATGCTCAGCTGAATTTTTAAAGTGTGTTAACTGTGGAGGAGACCACTTGGCAGTATCCAGGTTTTGTCCTCAAAAAGCAGCTCAGATTAAAAAACATGAAAATAATTATTCATCTAAAATGTATTCAACTGTATTATTGTCAAGTGATTTTCCTCCGTTACCTAGTGATAAATCAGTTGTAAAGTTGGCTCACAATAAATTAGCTTCACCTACTGTCCAACCTAAGAAAAAAAAGTTATCACAAAATTCATCAGATAGTTCAATTCCAGTCCAGTCTGCTCCTCCTAATAGTGGTTCCTATGATCAGCTCATTAAAGATGATCAGTTCTTGAGTAAAATTATCAAAACTTTAGTTATGTTAGGCAATTCTAATACAGCAAACACAACTGCACACATTAAGGATATATTAATACAAAACTTAACAAAATAATGGATTATTTACGATTAATGCAACATAACATACAGAGTATCAATAATAAAAAACCACTTCTTAAATCTTTATTATATGATAATAAAATAGATGTGTGCTTGCTAAATGAAACTTGGTTAAAAGATTCTGGTCTGCCTTTTTATATACCTGGTTATATATTTGTTGGAAAAAATGCTAAAAATGAGCATGGAGGTGTAGGTATTTTAATAAAAAATGATATTAAATTTAAGGTCTTAAAAACTACTTTCTATCAAAATATTCAATTTATAGCTATTTCTATAATAACAGGATGTGGTCCTGTCTCAGTGCTCTGTGTCTACTGTCCACCAAATAATAGCTCAATTAGTTTGATTAATTTGAGAAAGATTATATTGCAATTACCCAAGCCTTGTCTTGTATCTGGTGATTTTAATGCTCACAATATAGCTATTGGTTGTGATACTACCAATTCAAGAGGTCGTGAATTATTTGATATATTTGATGATGCTGATTTATGTATTTTAAATTCTGGTGACCCTACTACTATTTCTAGACCTGGTAATAATGCATCAGCCATTGATGTTACTTGTGTTAGCCCTGATATTGCACCACTTTGTGAGTGGTATGTCGGTGATGACTCTTTAGGGAGCTATCATTTACCTACTTTTGTTAACATCATTACCTCAACTCAAAAATATACAGTACAAGAGTCTATACATAAGTATTTATATAATAAAACAAACTGGAATATGTACAATGATAAATCCAAAGATATATTTGATAAATTTTCTCCTTCAACAATTGATCCTTTAGTTCAATATGATGAATTTTCTAAATTACTACTTAGTTTAAAAGAAAACTGTGTTCCATTGTTAAAGCATAAATCTTCTAGTAAAAAGTCTGCTCCTCCAGCTCCTTGGTGGAATGATACTTGTGCCGAGGCTGTAACCAAATCAAGAAAAGCGTTAGCTAATTATAGACGTAATATGACAATGGACAATTATATAGAATATAAGAAAATAGATTCGAGGAAAAAAATTATTATAAAAATGGCTAAGAAAGACAGTTGGAAAAGTCTTTGTTCGTCTTTTAATAGATTCACTCCAGTATCCCGAGTGTGGAATTTTATTAGAAGATTTAAGAGAATTAACATTAATAGAAATGTGTCCAAAAATGATGAGTGGATAGCAAGTTTTTTAGAGAAGTTAGGGCAATCTAGTAATAACAACGATAATATTTCTGGTTTATTCGAATTTAATGATGGAAGTCAGTGGAGCAAGTTTCTACTTAACTCTTTTTGTTTTGAAGAACTTGACATGGTTTTGTCTTCAAGAAAGAATACAACTCCTGGTCTTGACGATATTCCTTATATTATGCTTCAAAATCTACATGTTTCTGTAAAACATATTCTACTTAATATTTTAAATTCGCTTTGGTCTCAGCAATTGATTCCAGAATCCTGGAGGTTGCAATGTGTCATACCAGTGTTAAAACCTGACAAACCCAATGATCATTTTAATTCGTACAGACCCATTTCTCTTACATCTTGTGTAGGGAAATTGTTTGAGCAAATGATTAAGATTAGACTGGACTATTTTGTTGAAAACCAGAAACTTATTCCTTCTTGTCAGTTTGGATTCAGAAAAGGCAAAAGTGCAGCAGAAAGTTTTATAGCTTACCTGACTGATATGAAGAAGTGTTTGTTATCAGGTTCTACTGCAATTTGTGTTTTCCTTGATGTTCAGGGGGCATATGATAATGTAGATCTTCACCAATTAATTAAGGTGCTATATTCTTTGGGCTTCCCAGGAAAGCTTTTAAAATGGATTTTCCATATGTATTATGGTCGTTCTTTATACATTAAATACAATAATGTTTTTCATGGTCCAAAATTAGCATTCAAGGGGTTGATGCAAGGGTCTTCTTTATCTCCAATCCTGTATAACCTTTATACTTCACAAATATATACATATGTGACTGAATCTGTAAAAATATTACAATTTGCTGATGACATCTTAATATATAGTGTAGGCAGTAATTTACAGGTTACTCAAGCAAAAGTTAATTCAGCTTTATGTCAACTTAACTACTATTATACTGAGATACTTAAATTAAATATAAATAGTAGTAAAAGTTCAGTTTTAGCTTATGGTATTGATACTAATGTAAATGTTAAGTATAACAATAATTTAATCCCTCAAAATAGCGAAAAAAGTTTCTTGGTGTAATTTTTGACACTAAATTAAAGTTTACCAAACACATTGACTATATTTGTAGTAGAGCTTTGAAAGGTATCAATATTTTGCGGTCCTTAGCAGGAACTTTTTGGGGTTCTGATCCAAAAATTCTTTGTTTATTATATAAAAGCTTAGTACGTAGTCATTTTGATTATAGTTGTCTGGCATATATGAATATTAGTCCTGTATTATTAAAAAAGCTTGATGTTATCCAAAATATTGCTCTTAGAATTGTTACTGGTGCAATGCGTACCACTCCTATCAATTCTATGGAGGTTGAGTCATGTGTAGAACCACTATGTATTCGGCGAGTATTAATTGCTGAAAAATTTTGCCTGAAAGTGATAACTTCTCAGAATGATGTTCTTCTTCCAAAACTTTCTTATTCTATAACTATCACTAATACACCAGATTTGCCTTCAAGTATAACAGCGACTAATGTTCTCAATAACCAGATCCCTGAATTATTGGGAATTATGAGCTTTATGACTGATTTATCTGATAATATGTACAAATCTGAACTATGGCCTGTATATCTCTGTAAATATAAAGCTCTTATGTGTAAATTAAATATAGATATGTCCAGTGTAGTAGATAATATAGACTTTCTGGATTATTGCTGTACCAAGCCTAACAGTTACAAAGTCTACACTGATGGGTCTAAATCTTCATCTGCAGTGAAATCGGGTTACTATGATCCTCAGGCTAAAACCTCAAAATGTTTTATGTTAAGTAATACTTGCAGCATATTTACAGCTGAAGCTTATGCTATCTATCAAGTTGTATTGTACTTACAAAGTTTACAAAATAACGATAACTACATGGAGTTCCTAATAATTTCAGATTCAAAAAGTGTGTTAATGGCTTTAGACAAATGTCATACTTATTATAGAAATAATTATTTATTGTATAAAATTAGAGAAGCATTGATATCTTTGGATACTCCAGTAACATTTAAATGGGTGCCCTCTCATAGGGGTATCAAGGGAAATGATATTGTAGATGGTATCGTCAATTCTAATTATGATGAGGATCATAGTATTACATGCAGAGTTCGTTTTACGGATTTTCTTTTCGACTTAAAACAAAGAAGTCGCAAGTTATGGGAAAGCTATTGGAAATTATCCTCACAGCATAAAGGTAGTTGGTATGCAGAGATCCAAAAGGAACTCCCATGTAAACCTTGGTATGATAAATACAAAGGAGCCAATGAACGTAAATTTATAACCATTATTAATCGTTTGAGGTTTGGCCACTGTCAGACTCCAAGCCATTTATTTCGTTTTAAAATTATAAATAATAACAGATGTACATACTGTGGAGGAAATGAGGCCGACTTATCCCACCTCATCTTGAGTTGCCCGACCTTTAAATTTCAACGATTAATACTAGTAACGGATATTATGAAGTTGATGGATTTTGATGAGAATAATCGGACTAAACTTGGAAATTCTTTAGCAAATAACCCGACAAGATCAGCTTTAGACTCATCAGCAGTCACTGCAAATGGTAGTCATCAATGTCAACCATCACAAATAGAAATTCCCCGCCGTGTCCAAGATTTACTGAAATGTCCAGTTCTATTCAAAGCTATTTACTATTATATAAAAAACACAGTTGAGAAAATTTAAAGCTCACCATTGTTTTATATTGATTGTATTTTATGTTAAGTTAGTATAGTTATTTGTGTAAGATATTTTGTTATACCTTTTTTTAAAGTGCCAATGGACTTTGTATCCGGCTAATAAATAAATTAAAAAAAAAATTAAAAAAAATATAATACATTAGTACAGATTACAGTATATTGACATATTTATGATATAAATTTATTTAAAATTCTATAAAATATTAAATTAGTGTCTGTATTAATTTATTATAATCATCGTAATTACGTTGTTTAACAATGCATTTATTAGTTTTAATATAGATTTTGGTCATGTTGGCTATTTAAGTACAAACACTTTATTATATTAGGTATTTTTTGTTCCTTTGGTTGAGGTTATTGATACTGTAGGAGTACACGTATACACTATTTATTTGTGGATTTTTAGGAGTTGAAAGAAATGAGGTGAAATTATTTTTGGAAAGAAACAATAAGTTACAATGCTGCCCTTGACGCAGAAGGATACAAAAATTTCGAGAGGGCCAATTAGCGGAATCCGGGAAAAAATTAGTAACTGGTTTAGACTAATTTATTCTGATCAAAATTCCCGAAATTTATTTCTCTTCCTTATATTAAACTTGTCCTTTGCTTTTGTTGAGCTGTTCTATGGTGTATGGACAAATAGCTTGGGTGAGTTTAATTGATAAATATTGTTAAAATACTTCCATTAAGAAAAATTACTTTTAAAAGTTATTTATGATTCAATCAATTTTTGTAGGTTTAATATCTGATGCATTCCATATGTTCTTTGACTGTACTGGATTAGTTGCTGGCTTGGCAGCATCACTAATTTCTAAATGGCGATCAAATGAAAGATTTTCATATGGCTATGCCAGAGCGGAGGTTCTTGCTGGTTTTGTAAATGGACTTTTTCTGTTATTTATTGCATTCTTCATCATGAGTGAGGCTGTTGAAAGAGCAATTGAACCACCAGAGGTATGTGAAAACACCATAATAGTCAAGTTTTCTTAATAATCATGACCTTATTATCTTAGTTCACACTAAAAACTTCTAATAAAAAGTTCTGCTCAGTCTGACTAAATTAAATAAAATCACATAAAAATATTTTCTTCTGTTTGTTAAACCTACTTAGCCCAAATAAAACCATCTTGCCTAATAATGGAAATTTATGGCCTATGTATATGTATAATAATGTATTATATTTATAGTAACAGATTAAAATTAGTTGCTGTAAATATACAACAATTATAATAATAATTACAAATTGGCTTTTTTTACTTAATGATACAAGTAAGTTTCTAAATATACTATTAAATAAAGTAGAATTAAAAAAAATATATATAATTACTAAATTGTAAACATGAATTGGACTTTAACCTAGGATCATCTATTTTCTATAATGCTCTAATAAAACATTATATAATTTTAAAATTAATAGTTGTTTGCATTGTGCATGCAATATTGTATTGATATGTAATATTGTTCTTTAGAGTGAAAAGTTTTTCTAGATACTGACTGGATTTATATCAGTTCAAATTATTTACTTATCATTTGAATCTTGAATATAATATCATATTTAAATTATGTTTAGACATCGCAAAATATAATATATAATTGATATAAAATAACACTTGCAATTTTAACTTTTTTTATATGTGGTTTATTTAATTATTGTCCAGGATGGGACAATTATATAAAGTTAATATTTTTTACATGATTACAATTAATAGATTTTTTATAACAACATTTCTTTAGTATTAAAACATAATTTAATGTTAGGTTTGTCTTCTAATCTATCTAAGATTAGATCCATTTACCAAATAGTTTTAAGACGTCGATTGTAGCATATTAAAAACATTAAATTCAGGCACAGTTACTTTTTGTAAGTGTAGCAATAGAAAACACAGTCAACACGACTATAGACCATTTAAAAACATCTACTTTTCTCATAATTCAATAAATGCATTCCACGAAGATTTGTCGTTACTACGTAAAAATGGTTTCAAAGGCTTGAAGGCAGGTTTTTGCTAAATGGCAGAATGTAATGAAACCGTGTCATTTGTTGAATAATATTATTAAAACTGCTTAAGTTGCTTATATGTTCTAAAAATTATTTGAAAGCAGAGGGCCCCGGTAAAGGGGGTCCGTTTCCCCCTTTTTTTTTTTTTTTTTTTTTTTTTTAAGAAAACTTAACCATCATATTATTAAGTAGTCGTGACTTTTGTTACATTGATCAAATACATATAAAATAATCTATCACATGGCCAGTTATATGTCGCCTGTTTCCGTGTCGGAATACTAACAAAACTATATATAAATAATGTACGCGCCAGAAAAACAAACAAATAATGTTTTATGTCATAAAGCATTAGAATAATAAACACTTTGTTTCTGAAATATTTTTTTAGTTAATTATACAAATTCAAAATCAATATTCATAGTTAAGACAGGACAACGTCTGTCGGGTCCGCTAGTTTGTTTATAATTTTTGCGATTAGTAGTGTGCCTAAATAGTTAGTGCGTAAATTTTCATGTGATTTCCGACTCCTCCATAAAAAAACAAACCAAGTCTTGAAATGAAAATTCCGGCTTATGGGTGGTTAAAAGTTTTACTGTGAAAGCATTAGTGCTTTATCTTCGTGAAATACATTTCACACGAATGAAGCAGAATACACGTTAAGAAATACTTAACTATAGTTAAAAACATTTTTTTAATTTCAGGTGAAACATGAAAGATTACTGTTAGTATCCATTCTTGGATTCATGGTAAATATGGTCGGTATTTATGCCTTCCATCACGGTCATGGACACGGCCATGGCGGCCACGGTCACTCACATGGTGGGCATGGTCACTCGCACAATCATGGCCACTCTCATGATGATACTGAAGCGCCGACCGGTGCTGGATCAGCCATCATGCGTGGAGTGTTTCTCCACGTCCTTGCGGATACGTTGGGATCAGTGGGAGTGATTATTTCAGCGATTTTAATGCGTATGTTTGGTTGGATGCGTGCTGACCCAATATGCTCGATGGCTATAGCATTGTTAATTGCCGCGAGTGTGATACCGTTAATAAAAGATTCAGCGGGAGTGTTGATGCAACGGACGCCTTTATCGATTGAGCGATCTTTACCTAATTTGTTTACGCGTGTGGTTGGCTTAGCCGGTGTGCATGCAGTTCAGGAACCTCATTTTTGGACTCTCTGTAGTGACGTTCACGTGGGTGCTATAAAATTAGAAGTCGCCAGGGAGGTAGACCCTCGATATATCACTGATCAAGCGGCCCGAATTTTCCGAGACGCCGGCGTGAAACATTTAACAGTACAATTGGATTATTCCCCGCTTTGATGAGTAATCTTGTACGATTTTGTTGTTATGTACTTTTACGTTTAGATAGTGTTTATAATTGTGCCCTAAAATCGTATTATATGTACATACAGATAGAAAGCTGATTGTTACAGTTTTATAATAGTTAAACCAGAAGCTAGCAGAAGCAGATGTGTGTATGTTTAGTGATTTGCTCAGTCCACCAAAATATTTAAAATGTTTTTGTATTTAAGCTTAAGTAGTAATGAGATTGAATAATTTTTAGTTACCACAAAAAATAAAAACCATTTCGCACTGTAAGGATTTTATCTCGTTACTTGATACATACTATAAATTTTGTATTATTGTCAAGCACAAAAGGCAAAATTACAGCTATTCATTATGAACCGTTTACTACAGTGAAACGATTTCATTACTTTTTATCTATGGAAACAATTTTCACATAAAATAGCTTTTCATTGTTAGATAGGCGCCCAATAAGCTGATCTATTCAACGAATTTATTATCAAACAATAATAAAAAAACTGCCATTATGAAACGTTTATCTGTATTGTACAATTACCAATTGTTGTTAAGAACTAAACAAATATCATGTTTTCATTAAAAAAAATTATTTGAGTGCATTTATTGGATAATTTACTCATTTCATGAAGTTAATCTTACCCAAACAAAGTTTTAAATAAAAAGTTATCCGTATTATTACTGAATTTATTGTTTTTCAAACAGTGGTTGGGGACAACTGTTTTTAAATATCTGCACTTATTAAAAAAAATTGGGTAAATTTATTGAAACTTTGTTTTATAAATATGTAAACATTCCACTATTGCTATTTATGATTTCCAATAGTAAAGTTAATCTCGAAAAAAGTCGGCCATTTCACGATCTTTAATTGTGGATTATGTTCAACTTCTGCTTAGCAATAAAATTGATAATAAGAATAATTCTACCAATAGTTACTTCCTTTTATAACTGAATCGTTTAATAAGATCGAGATTCACCATAGGTATAATTCTACAATAACCTGATGCTTTTATCTTTGTTTACATTCGGTAATTATTTTATAGCAGAAATATTTTATAAGTTTATCAATAACCTTTGTTACATATAATGTATGTTTTGTTGTTGTATTAATTGTGTCACAAAATTATATATCTAATATTTGTAAATGAGAAGATAATAATTTTAATTTTTTCTACATACTGATGTAATTTTTCTGCCAATTAGATTCGTTTCTTGTTTATTAATTAATAAATCATTTGTCTTAGCAATCAAATTATGAAAGGTTTAAAAAAAATAGTAGTAACAATAAAATCAATTTAATTCTTGAGTGGGCGTTTTATTTACGCAGTTGGGTGTAATACTGTTAATGTTATTGCAATTATTTAATAGATTACTTTCAGTTATTTGTAATACAGTAAAAGCTCCCTATTCGCGCTTTTCACTATTCGCGGATTAAAAAAATGCAACCCAATTTCTTTATTCGCGGCAAAAAATTTCTTTATTCACGGATCTAAAATTTCATACAAAATTCCAATAGGTGGTGTTTAACGCAATATCATATAGATAATATGGAGTGTAATCCTGATATGAGTGTTATGGAATGCTGGAAGATATTTGACGTAGCAAAATGCATCGTAAACATAAAAGAATCATTGGACGAACTCAAACCACACACATTGAAGTCATGCTGGAAAAAACTATGGCCTGCTCTGACTGCGGAAATTTAACAATGGCAAATGAGCTTTGCGATTTCTTTATGAACATCGATCCATTTATGGAACGAAGTCTTAATTTTAAGAGGCAAATTGCTAATGCGACTGCTGAGTATCAGTCTGAATTGAAGGAGCTATTAAAAACTGCCAAGCAAGAGAAAATAACAAAATTCTTCAAACCATTGCCTAAGCCTGATAATGATTAAATAATCAAAATGTTCAATAACATCAATAAAATTGATTTTCTTATATATTTGTGTTTTTTATTTTGGCACCTAGGAACGTATCCCCTATAAACCCATATAAATTACCATTCTGTATTCGCGGCATATTTATGGAACGTATACCCCGCGAATAAAGAGATTTTACTGTATTACAATTTTAGACCAGAATATTAAAACTAAATTCTTTCATTTCACGACAATGCTTCAGCGCACTCCGCAAAACGGACTGTTGAATATTTGACTATGGCAGGTGTCGAGATAATGAGTCATCCGCCTTACAGTCCAGCCCTGCGATTCTGTAACTCACTTTTTGAACTCACACAGCGGTTTTTGCATCGGCGGTTGCTCTCAAATCAGTCGTGAAAAGGTGGGAGCTTGTAGTTTATTGTTTATCAGAATGCCAAATCATAAAATGACTGCTTCACGGCTGATTTGAAAGCGACCGCCGATGCGAAAACCGCTGTGTGAGTTACAGAAACAGGGCGCCAGGTCAGCCCTGCGACTTTCATTTATTCCCAAGAGCTAAAGATAAAATTGGATTCGATTCGCTTTACGAGCCCCGAAGATGCGGTAAAAGCGTACGAAAATAGCATAGGAGAGACCCCTAAGGAAGAATGGGCCCTGCTTTTCTCAGTGGTTCCAACTTCCATCGAATGCGACGATGTGTAGAGAGGAACGGAGATTACTTTGAAAAGCAATAAAAGTATTGCCAACTGTCTACATTAAGCCGTTTTTCATTTTGTAAACATTTTCAGTGTTACCTAGGTATTATATTTATGTATGGGTCTATTGGTCATATCATTTTTCCACTGTCAACAGTTAAACGGTTTTGATAAGATTTAATAATTAAAACTCTGTAGTATACCAAATACATTTATGCATAAACAAATCACTCATATACATACAACAAAAATATTAAATAATAAATCTGTTTAGAATATGCAGTTATATAACTAACACAGAGAGTAATAGGTGCGATCACACATTCTTACAAAAAAAAGTATTTAGGAAATTTAATGTACAAAAATTATTTTTGTATTTTGTTCTTTAATCCTTCATCAATATTTCTCTATGTGTTGTATGTAAAAGATGACATGACTAGTTACAAATAGGTAATTGTAACCACACCTCATTATAATATAAAAGTTTTGTTTTCTGGTTAAATCTATGAACAAGGAATAAGACTGTGTGATGACCCTCTCTCAAAATGTATTTTGCTATTCAATAAGTTTCTTGGCCTTAAAATAGCGGCGAAGGTAAAGCACCTGCCACGTGGCTAGCCCCAACAAACACACCATTGAAAACAAACTGAAGAATAACACTCTATTGTTTGTTGATTCTGAAAGATAAAAAAACATGTAATTAAGCAATTTAACCTTGACACGAAAAGCATAAAATTAAATATTATTTTACATATTTTAAGCTCAATTTAATTTATATAGTAGGCTTATTTTGAGTAATTTCAATATAAGGTCACTTTATTGACTACACTCTTGTTGTTTTTCATGAAACTTTGGAAAACACCATCAAAGTATGAAGTTTCGTTTCGAGTTTGAGAGTGGCAGAAAGTGGAATTAAATTTAAAGGCAAGTAATGAAACGTCATTGATCCCAGTAATTTGCCTAGATGTTTGATCAACTGTTTGCGGAACATCTTTCAGGCCACTAGTTAAACGGCGCCGTTAGTTAAAAGGCTAGGCTGTTATTTGAACAGCTAATAAAGCTAGTTGGCTGTGACATATATTTTTCAACAACAAAAGGTAAATTAAAGATTGACAATGGTAAATCGGTAATAAAATATACTCAACCATTAGTATCCCTCATCTCCTCTTCTCGTTTTCTCATAAGTGTAAAATCTTGGACAATAGCCTCTGACAAATCTTCCAGTCTCTTTAGCTCTAGTTCCATTGGCTTTAACTTTGCTGCTTCACCAATCTGTTGAATGATTTCATTTTACAGTCAGTGTATTCCGTGTTATTCAGTTCAGTTTAGTCAGTTGTGTTTTTTTTTTTACAATTTCATTAATATTTTTTATAAGAACATAATTAACTGTGTGTGGTTTAAGTAATTTAATTAGTGAATGTTAGTAAACCAAGAAAAAAATGGGTAAAAAATATTATTTACTGTCAATTAAAATTACCATGCCAATTTTTTTTCTATGATGGATACACACAAACACTCAATATAATTTATTACCCATGTATTCTAGTAGATTGAAGATTGTGAAGAGCAGCAACATAATAAAAAAAATACACATTATAGTGAAGCAGCAACATGGAATTCATTCCAAAAGTAAACAAATAGTTTCTGTCCATAAAAATACTAAATACCATTATGTATTATATATATCATAATTAGACATTTCTAAAGTCTAGATATATAGTATTACAAATTCAAACAATGTTGGTTTGAAGCATAAGTTTGAGAAGCACAATACATGAAATTTCAACAACAATTTAATTTAGTTTTTAAGATACATAAAGTGGAATCTGCTCCAAAGTATACTTATTTAGTAGTAAAAAAGTTACCTTCATACAGGACATATTATCAGTTACTTTTAGAACTGCTATAAAACATTTCTCAAAAACAAAGAGCCCAATGGCAACTCTTGAAGTTAAGTAATATACTGGAGGTTTATTTTAAAAAACTGAATCATTTAAAGAAAAACCTTTTTACTGGATTAAAGTTATGTATTATTATAAATTTACAAACTGAATCACTCTAATTATATTTTCCCGCCACCAAGTGTGTATATTATAAATTCACAGACAATGTATTTAACAGTTTATTCGAAATAGAAATTCAGAACAGCCATATGTAAGCATAGAAAGGTCTTCATAAAGTTTAATAATTTGTCTTCCTTTTTTTGTCAGTTAATATTGATTCAACAAAATTTAACTTACCCCTTCATAATTTTTAGCTTCAATTCCAACTTTTATATCTAAGTGTACATCTTGTGCTACTCCACGACGTTCTAAAGTGTCAAAGATATTAAAAATGTTATATATTGTTCTAAATTTGTATGATAGACATACTTGATAAATAGAGCCTGTTTTTTTTTAATGTTTACTTGAATGTAATGTAAAATATATGTACTTGCTAGGTTAAATTCATTTCAATAAATAGCAAACTGACAGAAATATTAAGAAGAAAAACAATATTACCTGGTTGCATTTTAGATATAAAACAGACTTCAAATGTGTCATATGTTTCTGTTACAAATGTAAATTTGCCCTTGCTGATGTTGTCTTTTTGAGCTAAGATGTGTCCCTTGGAATCCCGCACCTATAAGATGAAATTATAAATAAGTTAATATTTTAGAAAATTATTATAGAGTTAACCTCTCGTGAACTAGAGTAATAGAAAGTAATTTTTCTTGCTTACAATGTAATCAATCCGCTGTCCAGTAATCTCTGTAATTTCATACTCGCCGGCGACTAACACGTTAGCTTGTAATTCCTCTTTTAAACATTTTTGAGTATTTGGTGCCAAACTCCACATAATAGCATCACAGCTACACCAAAAAATACTAAATAAAATCGTGAGATAATGTACCTCCATTGTGGTTTAAAATTGTCGATATTTTGTTAAGCTTCAATTACATCTCAATTCGTTACGAAGAGAAAATAAACATTTTATGTACGTATTCGTTTCGAAAAGACATCGATGAGTTGGCCCAACCTTTTCAAAACGTCATTTTTTTTTGTTTATGTCGTAGATTTAGGATTGACACTTTAAACAAGGCTTTTTGCCACCTAACATCTGTATCATATATTAATCTGTATTAATAAATCAATTGTTTGGTTTTATAGCATATTTGTACAAAAAGACATTCGTAATTCAGTTCGACTAACAATAGTAACCTGCCTAAAACCATTAATAATAATTTGTACTACTTCCAAAAGTTTGAAATATAATTCACAACAAAAATAGATTAATGTTTACCATAATAATCGACAATTTTTTTTCGTTTCAGCATCGTTACTAACAGACATATAGACATTAAAATATTATTATGTTCTCCTACTCTTTCAAGAACTTTAGCTCTCAAATCCTAAGATTCAGAATTGAGCCTTAATAGACCACAAGCCCATGAACAAAAAATACCTGTGAAATGAGCCAACGTGAATTACGCTTAGAAGGCTGTTACTATATCTGAAAATAGCTCTGAGCACTATGCCGTCATTTCTGAGCGGTACATGTGAGTACGTGAGTGAATGGACTTTCTCAGGTACAATTGGGGAATTTCGACTAATTATTAATGTACGGCTTTGTTATAAGTGTATAGATGATTAAAAATAAATGTCGAAAAACCTAGTGCCGTACTAAAGTGATGGTGCCGGAAGTCGGTGCAAATTTTTAATTCGACGACAGTTGCAGAAGCAATATAGGTCATTTATTACTGTACGGCATTTGTGTGATTCCTTTTGGACACATATACAGATACTTTACCCGTAAACGCCGTACATATTTCCAGCGGAGTGGTCGAAAGCCAAGGGTCGCAACCCTACCCCTACACCCATATACCCTAAGGTCATTGTAAAATGTACGGCAACAAGTTCAAAATATTATTTAAGACGGACAATAATGTTTTATAATTATGCCGTCCAAAAATTATAGTTAATATTTGTGTAAATAAATATTTATCGAAATTTCAGGATTTACCGAGTTATTACTGCTGTAAGATCAGAGAATAATGTACGGCAACTTGTTTTTTTACATAATGTTACTAAATGTTACCGTTGTACCTTATACCCGTTCATTATAAATGGTAACAAATAAAAATATTATGATAAAAAATATATGAAATTTCCGAAATTTAGATGATTTTTCAAATATTCCTAAAGTAATATGAGGAGTAATATTTTCAAAGATTATTGTTATTTTATATGTAACAAATATAAATAAACAAAAAAAACCAGATGCCGTACATTTTGCTCCAGATTATTCTTTACAGCTGATAAAAACTTCGACGACGTTTGAGGGACACCCTTAAGGTCATTAATAACTGTACGTATCTGAGTATACTACCATAAGGCTGTAAAGTATATTTACAGCCTTATCGTACGAGCAGAGAGAGGTAAAGGAAAAGTATTTTTAACAAAAATAAAAATATAATACAGGGCGTCCCAAAGTTTTGGGACATGAAGGGAAAGTACCTTTAATATCGTAGATAGGGTATTTTACTGAAAGAAGACTTTACGTTATTTTTAAAAGTTAGTAATTCTGCATTAAAAGATTTTGAAAAAATTACTAGCCTCGTCTGGAAATCGAACCGGCTTAAATGTAAAAAAAACACCCCTACTTTTATGATACCAATCGAAAGAATGGCCAAAACCTAATAACTTTTCTAACAAGAAGAAGAGTTATTAGTTTTTGGTCATTCTTTCGATTGGCATCATAAAAGTAGGGGGTTTTTTTTTACATCAAAGTCGGTTCGATTCCCAGACGAGGCAAGTAATTTTTAGAAAATCTTTGAATGCAGAATTACTAACTTTTAAAAATAACATAAAGTCTTCTTATAGTAAAATACCCTATCTACGATATTTAAGGTACTTCCCCTTCATATCCCATAACTTTGGGACGCCCGGTATTGGTAGGCGGTGGTATAATCTGCCATTTCACAGACTAGCGGACTATCGAAAGTGTACGGCATTTATCTTTTATTGAAGATTGTCTAAAGTATTAATAACCTGTGTTATTGCCGTACAGATAAAAGTCACCGGAAAATGACTCTTTTTCGGAGGGAAGTAATTTACCCCATACACCTATGTGTTCCACAAAAAATGTACGGCATGCTGGAAAATGTTACCTATTTGTGAAGAACTCTCAAGATCATTTAATTTTATGTTGTTCTATATCATCATCACCTATATGCTAATCAGACATATGTTGCGACCCTTGGCTTTCGACCGCTCCGCTGGAAATATGTACGGCGTTTACGGGTAAAGTATCTGTATATGTGTCCAAAAGGAATTACGCAAATGCCGTACAGTAATAAATGACCTATATTGCTCCTGCAACTATCGTCGAATTAAAAATTTGCACCGACTTCCGGTACCATCACTTTAGTACGGCACTAAGTTTTTCGACATTTATTTTTAATCATCTATACACTTATAACAAAGCCGTACATTAATAATTAGTCGAAATTCCCCAATTGTACCTGAGAAAGTCCATTCACTCACGTACTCACATGTACCGCTCAGAAGTGACGGCATAGTACTCAGAGCTATTTTCAGATATAGTAACAGCCTTCTAACCGTAATTCACGTTGGGTCATTTCACAGGTATTTTTTGTTCATGGGCTTGTGGTTTATAACGCTAAGTAATTCTGTTTGACAAAATACTGCAGTACATTGTATTGGATTTTGACAGTCGAAAGAATTATATAGAAACAAGAATATGAAAGACTCCTTCGTCAGATCAATAAAGAAAATAGTGCTGAGGATATTAGACCATGTAACATATACAATTCGTCACGTTGGGTATAAGACAAAATCATTTTTTGACAGACCTTGATCTGATCCTGTTTGCTAAATGAAAATACGCTCACGTTTTGTCTCTTGACTCTTTTCATTTTGTTTCAAATAGTTTCGTATTGTTTTAATACAAGCCATTAAAACCGGCAAAGCGCTCGCGAGCCCTCTGGCATTGAAAATGTCCATGGGCGTCGGTATCATTAAACATTAAATGAGAGCCCTGCCCATGTGCCCCTGTTCTATAGAAAAAAATGCTAAAGTGCAATGGTACATTAAAATAACTGGCTGTGTCGCCTTGTTTTATTCTTATTACTTGCAATTTGTAGCATACAAATTTACTAAATGTAATTGTAAAATGTAAAGTGTAGGTAAGTAAAGTATTGCCATTGCAAACCATTTATTTTTAAACTTTTATTTAATAGGTAGAGCAGTGGATGCTGCTCGCTGTTTTTTTCGATTGTTAAAAATGTTTGATGTTCATTGAAAATTGGTGGTTTTTCGATTCGATTTTAATCTATTAAGTAGGTTAATATATAAAGAATAAAACTCCAATCGCCTGTCTCACATCCTAAAACTACAAAGGTTTACATTATCGTTTTAATTTCTTGTATGTTTCATAGTCTGTGCTTTTGTCAAATGTCTTATGTAGCGAAATATAAATTATAACCCAAAACTTGAAGATTAAACTCAACTCTAAATTGTTAGTGTATTTTTCATAAATTATACTTAAAAATTATAATAATACACAGTTTCTACGTATACTAAGTGAATAAAACCGTAATTTATAGGAGATCAACTAATTTATACAATTGTGATTACCACAACCTATCTCAACACATCTGACATACTTTTGCTTAGACTTTATATTATAAATAATTATCGATATAACATGTTACAATATCTTTATAAATAGTTCTTATATAAGTTATTCTATTCGAGAAGCTCTTTTTGTAGTAACTGTAAGTATAAGCCGTATTTATATGTTACATAGCTGTACTTCTACTACGTGTTTACATAACAATACAAATTATTATGCACAATAGTGCTTAGTAGTTTAAGAGCTTAATTCTTTGTAGATTGCCTGTCTTATGCCTTATTTAATACACATTGAAGCTTAAAGAACGTATGGAATATTTATCTAGCATTTCATGGGAAGTTCATCTTCAGAATGAAATTGATTTCTCGAAAAGTTACTACTTAAATGTTTTGTATTTGTAAAATTTGCATGGTTTAAACTTAATACTAATTAATTATTAATTTACAATTCTAGTTAGGAATACCACATTTTCAGGGACTTATTTTTAGTAATATATTATACTGTTTTATTTCATATGGATAAAAACTTATTTATTACCTATTACAAGTTTCATATATAATATACAAGTATACACTATATTTGAAGTTACAGACAGAAAACGAAAATAATTTAATATTTATTGTTTAATTTTATTGAATTTTCAGGTATTTTGGCTAAAGGGAATGATAATAAATTTATGGATGGATCAATCTCATATGAAGTTATTGGAATTTTGAGGTAAGATTTAAACACAAATTTGACAATTGTATAAAAAGCTATTTTCCTTTATCATTAAAATGAATTTCACAAATTATAAAAAAAAATCTTCCTAAAGGTATAGTAAAAGTGCTAACCTGAAAGCAGGCAGCTTTGTACCAGGGCTGTAAAATTATTGTACATTGGTTATTATGAATACAATTAATAATCATATCCAATGGGACAATGACTAATAATACATTAAAAAATCATATGAAAAGTGACAGTAATAAATGTATATTGTAATAAAATGCTTTATACTTTAAATTAAATAAAAATAATTTTCAAAATAAAATGTACATGTAATGTAAAACATATATAGACTTATTGTATGATGTACAAATCTAGTGTATCTAGTGTAGTGTGTTGTTATCAAACTATCCCACAGGTATGATAACTATTGTATGGTTGTGAACCCTGAAATGTAATGCTTAGTCTGTCTATTGTCTTACTTTCTTCCCTATAATTATTTTAAGCAAGTCTTTGTGTTCTGTGGATAACTAATTTTCTTACCAATTGAATGCATTGTTTGAAAATATTCTTAATTGCCAATGTTGTGTTTGTTTTAGGGGCTCCACATTATCTTAGTGTGTAAGCATCTGTAAATCAAGCTCCCAAATACTCTACATAACTTAATAGCTAGGCAGATTCAAAATGATACAAAGTTCTACAATCAACTGACACCACAGTGTCCTATTGACAGACTTGTTTATGTTTTACTTATTTTATTGCATTATAAGATGAGCACTATACATATAGTTACCATCAACACATTTAAAGTTGATTTGTTTGGACAAGTTTAAAATGGCTTAAAAGGAACCCTGTTTTATGAAATGTCTGAATTTTAGACTGCCTTCCAAAAAACATAACAATGTTCGGTTTAGATGATTGAGGTGTCAAATGATTTGGCTCCACATTAAATTCATTTAAACATAAAATATAAATCAGGATATCACAGGATCTTTAAGCTAGTTGTATATAAACTAATTGATGAATGATCACTAACTTTAATTCTCTTTAAAAGCTCAGTTTATCATAAGCATATTGGGTTTTACTGTTTATAAGGATTTTCTTAAAGCAAATTTAACGTTGGCAACACTGAATAAATATGACATTGTTAGTATAAATTCCAAATTAAATAGGTAAATGTTTGGTACTTGCCTATGATAGAACTACCTATTATAGGGACTACATTCTTAGATGCATTTTATAAAATTGAGCCTAGTAATATGTAATAAAAATATCAAAGTGCCGGGGAGCAGCAAACCCGAGCGTTGATGCTCCAGCTGGATGCACCTTTCAGCATCTTCAATTTGCCTTACCTGGTCGGCCGGAATGACGTCTAACAAGGACTAGGCTTGTGGCTTCCTTCAATTTCCGTTCAGACATCAGTCTTACAGATTTTAGATATTAAGGGTTTTGCTGTAGTCTGTTTGCTGTAAATTTTTCCCTGTTGTGAAGTATATTGATGAACAGCCTTCTGTGCTTTCCAACCCGCCGGGAAGTTATGGCAGACTCATCGATTTTAAAAATGTCTTTAAATTTTTATTAACTCTTTGTCGCGCACTATTTAACATCAGTTAAATCAAAGTATTTATGACCCAGCTCAACATAGGTTAATATTCCTTCATGAAAAAAAACCTACTAATTTTAAATTGCTGACCACGCACTCGCGAGCTGGCAATGTAAGCGTCTGTGGAAGATGATATCAATAATTCTCAATATTTATGATATGGCATGAACATCATATATAACCACAACACTTCGTCTTCCATAGCATAACACGGTTTTATCCAAAGCATGTTCTCCTAATGTATTAAAGATCTATAAATTTATATTTCTTCATCAGGAAGATACAAACATCAATAATAATATATGTAATTCTAATCTGAAAATATTCGGGCGCCTTCCCGCGCATGCAAATGGCACAAAGTTATTTCGTCGATGTAAATAAGCGCGCCTTTAGTGATGTAATATTATACAATGAAAACGAGAGTTGCACTGCGACGCGAAAATATTCTTTATGCTGCACTTCGCATTCGGTTCCATTCAGCTGCGGCGGCCGTGACAGTGCGCGACGGGCGCGGGGCGGGTTACGGCAAAACTGGGTCGCTGGCGATGTGTTGACAAGTTCAAGGCCACGCCCGGCGAGGGGGCTTCCGATCGTCCATAGATGGCGTTGTTTGATTCGAAAAATTTTGCGAGCGGGGTAGAGGTGGGGTGCAGGGGACAGACAGCGGGAACGAATTTTCGGTGCAACATACATACGACAACGCTGCACTCGCGTGTCGAACGTCGCGACGCTTAGTACTGTTGGCTAGACGCGATAGAGCTAGACTTACATTCAACTGATCCGGTGTTAGTAAGCCGACATGGACTGGATGGAAATGGATGATGTGGTGCGTAAAAATTTAATTTTGTAGGCATACTTATACGGATAAAGCTTGCTCTATTTTAAACTCAGCCGGACTTGACCTTACCTAACAAAAATCTTAAAACATTGAGTTTTCAAAAGTTTACAATTTTAAAAGCCTTATGTATGTATTTTATAATTAATAATTAATTTATATAAATGTTATCATATTTGTATTTTGTTAAATATTTATATTTATAGACTGGTCCAATTCTTATCATGTGACCTCGATATTAGCACATTAATTTTCAAGACTTCACTTAGGTAGGTACTTTATTTTTTATAATTGGTATATAGGTAGTCTGTTCAGCTTTCTTGAGATTACGATTGATAAATTACGTATCGAGCTACAACTATGTAACAGACATAAAGCGTTCATTTAGTATTCGCAAGTGGTTAACAATCGTCCGATTGAGTTGTCAAAAATTACCTTCAAATCCTGTTTTCCATTCTAATACACGGGCCGGTGCGGAAGTTCTTTCGAGGGACCTATTCTTTGCATATCCGATGCGGCGTGTCATAAGTAATTTAATATGCTTAAGATATTAATATGAATACAGAAATGATAATTTGCAAATCAGAAAAAGGTTATCCAGAATAATGTAAAATAGAGGGCCTAAGTGTAAAAAGCAAAACGCGTGCCCGACCTACCTCAACGCTTCGCGATCGATCCGCCCGCCGTAACTTCGTCTAGCGAAGCCTAATAATGGTCGGACCGTTTTTATACATTAGACGAAAAGCCGTCAGTACATATCTGTTTGGCCTTCCTATGTAATGACGTCATGCTAGACGACTATAACACTTCCACGTAAATTATATTTTTGTTTCTAGTTCCCCACATTTTTATTTGAATCTGAGATGCGAACCTAAGCATGAAAATACTACGTACCTAATTAATTTATTTTGATTATGCTGGTTTCTTATGGATTAATAGTTTTAGGTAATATTATTTATATGGTCTAGTCTTTCGCTCTTTCATATATTGTGTCTACCCTATGATAGAAACACGTGAGTACTTTGTAAAAACAGCGTAATTTCCATTTAGCCCATTAATAAAGCGTTCTGACTGCTTTTTGAATGCGGCCTTACATAAGTACATAAATATCCATGAAATATTTTTATAAATGTTATGTTATTAACTACCTACTAGTCATTGAAATATTCCGCTATGATGGTATAAATGAACAACAAAGTATACATTAAGTTTTCTCTCATATCTAATCTGATTTGTAGCTGCATTTTACGATAGTGAATTTTACTGACCTTGACTGCCTTGTACAATCTTAAAAAAAATATGTAAATTTTAGTTTTATGTAATATCCGAACTAATCTCAAAGCGCTGATTTGATTAGATTTCGAAAACATACCTAGGTACATTAGACTTATTTGACCTAGGAACATACACATCATGATTTAATTGAAATGTTTATTTCTACGACATTTTTTAAATTCTATTTAAGTCTATCGTTATAAACACGTTTATCGCAATAGATATCTTTGTCACGATTTAGTGTATACCACAGGCGTGATACAAAAACGTTCAGTAACGATATGAACAAGCCTCCAGACTTCTAGTTCTGAGTATCGAAGGCCAGACAGGCGTTTGACTAAATACAAAAAACAGTCTAGCCTTACATTGTTCGGTTCGGGAACTGAGACGCGAACAGCGCGAGCGCCTTTGTTTAATATAGGCATGATAACGGGTAATCAATAGTTTTTAATTCACGATCTTGAAAAATACTACCAAAATTAAATGAAAATCGAAAACGTTATAATATTATTTTTGCTACAGAAATTAATTGGAGTAAGCTCGCAGTTATCTTCAATACCTATAGATATTAAAGGGTCACCAGATTGTATAACTTTGGTCATGGTCTTAAAGATATAAATATTTATTCAAATGTAACACTTCCGGACAAATACATTTATTACGTATTCTAGAAACTAATGCCTTTTCTTCTAAATTTAAAATATTATTTCAAAAGTACCTACATACTTATTACTAAATAATTCTCAGTGAAATAAAATATGCTGGCTGGAATGCCATCGGTGATTGAATAATGTCTGCGGAATCATATTATAATTGAGACTTAAAATAGGAGTAAAAAGAGGGGAGTCGGAGCGGGAAATTTGGCAGTTGGCCTTGACAGTGAACTGGCGGCGCACACCAACGAGACCTTTTGTGTATTACTGACCCACACATGTTAGACGTCGCTGTTCCACGAATGGCTTCTCCCACACAACGATATTCCTTTAGGGATGTAACTTTACGATATACCCAGACTAGAATGTCGACATTAATGTAACATTGACACAATAATTTATTTGCCGTGATTATAAAAATATCACTTTATAAATATTTGGTTACAATATTCGTTCAATTGATTTAAAAAAACCTTTTGAACCATTAAAGTAGTTTTTGGGTTTATTTCTTCGACGAATACGTGGTAGTAATTCTAGCAGCATTAATCAGATGTATTCTTACGGCATTTTTTGTATTGAATAACAATAGTTGAATTTGGAGCTAGTAATAATCTGCCAACCCTATGTCCAAAACGCGAGGTTATCGCCTGTTCGCCGCCTCGTTGCCGCGTGCCTGCCCTAACACAACGTACACATAGGCAGCCTAGGCTTCGCCGATAACTAAATATTCGTTTTCAAGGCTCTTTGTTGTATGTGTTCAAGGCGTCGGCGCTCAACACAAAGGTAAACTGTTCTCTTTTTATGCTCCGGTTTCGATTAAAATACCTATACACATATAGCTTCTTATATGTATATCAAGAATAACACTAGTAATTGCAGCTATATGTAATTCAATGTTCAAGGATTTTGGTAAAGGCAGTGTATACAACTTGCGAATTTTGGTTATTCTTTGCTAGATTTGTATCGTACAATTATTATTTTATTTTAAGGTTATATTAACCTTGGTTAAATAAGATTTTTTAAGCAATTAATTACTACTTCACTTTGCTTGGTTTCAGTGTGGCAAAAGAAATTCAACTAATGATTCTATATAATATAATAACTAAGTAGACACGTTATTATAAATTCTGTTACAAAATGTATTCAATAATAATCTTTGCTACTGACATTTAATTGAATTAATTTAATATATTTCGTCTATTAGATAGTTACGGTCTGAACGTTGTAATAAGTACCTAAATCTTCTTGTATCATCATCATTGAATCAATGAAAGTCTTTTTCATTAACGTATTTTATCATAGTAAGTTTTTTTTTTTCTTAAATTAAATAAATTAGGCTAGAATTCATATGAGCTTCCCTCATGCAATGAAGGTAAATAGCACTGACCAATCGCAGGGCTTTGAATACTGGGCTCGGCGTCGGAAAATGTGGCCGTGTATATTCATTCGTTGTTACACATCGAAGGGATATTTATAAATTGTTAATTCGTACGTTGAAAGGACCAATCTGAAGGCTGTGAGCACGTGTTGTTTGTTGGGCGGCGCGTGAGCTGGTGGGGCGAGGCGTGACTTGCGTATACGCAGTGCGTACGCGGTGCGTAACTGTCGCTATGTTTGTTTACATCGTGCTCTTAATACAACCAGTATATCAATTGGAAATGTCGAGTAAAACTTAACGATCAAGTTACCTAATGAGTTGAAAAGGATTTGCAGTGTTGTTGTGTGCTATACACGGATGTTAAATGTGAGTCGGAACCCAAAATAATTCAACTCTAAATAAAATGATTGCAAATATTATTTTCAATTTGAGATAATAATTTAAAGTTCAATTCCACGAGTCGCAAAAATTACATGTATGATTAATTAATATTGTAATTACACTACCTACTCATTGTTACCTAATTAGATTAGCAGGTAGAATAGATGTACCTAAACTTATTTGAATTCGGTTATTTCCTTGACGTACCTACCTAAATAAAATGATTTCTTTTTAAATATAAAATTAAGGCAACTGATTTAAAAGAACATAAATCAGTCAGTCATCCTTGGTATTACATTCTTATAAATAAATGTTTGCATGATTTACCTACGCCCTAATAATACATTATTAGGTATTATTATATAAGTAACATAAGAGGGATTTACAAATATGCAGCACAATTTCGATTAAACGAAGTCAGTGAATTTAAATAGTTGTCTCCGAAGCAACAAGCGCGTTGCATACCTACTTGCTGTAACACTTTCATTGACCCTTCAGTTACGTAATGGTACTACGTAATGATTTTATCGTCTTAACCGTAAACCCACGTGGATTTGACAAGTCCTATATAGTCGCATTTTGTCGTGTGTTGTTTATTGTCAATTATATTTGTTATTTAATCAATGTTGGTTATATAATACTTATCTTACTTAAGTATAATTACTTATCCCACAATTGGGCTGTAAAGACAAATTTGGCGCACAAATATTTTTCTATTGTTGAGGAAAATTAGGTTTGGGATAGAAAGAAGGCGTAGTTTTCCGCGCCGCAGGCCTTGGTATAGGTCGGGCGCGATGTCATCGGCCGCGCAATGTCACCCGGCGATCCGCTCTACTCCTCACCCCCCAGCTCGCGTCTGCGTGATTCAACCGAAAATTTGGAACAATATCTCTATAGAGCGGCGTTCGATTTAACATTGCAAAAATTTTGTATTGGGTTCTATAGATTTTTGTAAAATGTCACGTTATGTTATTATTGTATTTAATATTAGGTAGTACATGACGCGGCCGCAGAGAAGCCCTCCAACAAATGTAGTATTTCTTTTATTTTACCTGTTGAAATTATTCGACACAATACTAAGAAACAAGGCATGACTTTCGTGCTTCACGCACGTTTTTTTGAGAAATGTAGTTAAGTGGACAATTAGGTAGAGATTGACGTAGGTCCTAGTTTAGTTAGTAAGTTGGGTGTTTTGGTGTGTCCGCGTGGTGATATTGGGCGATGTCGGTCGTTGACACCGCGCTATCTGAATTATTTAGCCCCGACTCAATGTCGGCACAATGTCGAATCGCTAGAGTTCACAGACCGGTGCGGGCCTTACCGACCGCCTTGATCTAGCTCATTTTTATCGCTCGGTACTCAGGGTTTTTGTCATAGTTAATTATATATAAGATATTGTGGTAGGTTATTTGACTCTGTAAAATATTGATGAATAGAGAGCAAACTTGCTTGGAAAATCTTGGGCTCATCATCTTAACTTGACACATTTGTTCTATAATTTGGAACCTGCTTTTCTTTTAATTTGTCTATTTTTTTTATTTGGATTCTCTAAATGTGTATACCAAGTCTCGTCGGCTCTTGGTAGAACCTACTGTCGGTGGCAAGTAAATTAAAATTGCTTTGCGAAAGTGTTTGAATATACCATGGTGCTGTAAGTTTGAACTGCGTCTTTTTATTTTTAGCTATTTCTGATAAGTTAAGTTTAGGAAAGTTAAGTAGGTACAAATGTTTAAAATTGTTTATGTAATCCACATTTCGACAATTATTTCTGCATCTACAAGCTTTATTGCAGTGAATATAGTCGTACCGCAATATACAAAAACGTATCTAAATCACCATCTCACTTCAAGCACCTCCCATCCTCTTACGTTATCTAGACATGTACTTATATACTACCTTTTTGAAATTATTTAAAGGTCAGAAAACATCATTTACCGTTAGCAAATATCCCGCAGTCGGTTTGTGGGCTGCGACCATTCTGCGACAGTGGGTCGGCTCGGTGGCGCACGGAAACCACACCACGGTCAAGGCCGCTGTCTAGACACCCCCCCTACCCCCCTCCTGCCCTCCGCTCCTTCGCCGCCTTGGCACCCCACCCCTAGCCGAATCTCCCCTTTTATTTTTATATCGCCAGCCCTCGAAGTCGAATTTTGCCTGGGTTTCGCTTTCTAGGTTGACAGACCTGACCTACACATATTGAATGCTTAGTTATCTAACGCTAACTAGCTAGACGCGATTTACTGAGGACGTCAGCTTATAAAGTGTTAATATAATACAAATTTTCGCTCACGTACCTGTCAAATATCCTATTTAGTCTAGACTTCAGTATGGCCTTCGGGTAGACATTGATATATTATTATGTAAACCCATAATTAAGTACACTTTGGTTAGGTCTGACAATTTGATCGCTGATGTAGTGTTGCAAGATTGAAGTTTTAGTGTTTTATTACTCAGCATCTCAATAAAGAATCTTGTTGTTATGTAAAAAATATCTAGCACAGTAGGTGTTGGGTCTTATGTATGAACAAGAATAAAATTCTTACGGAGAACGCAGTTTCTGCGATTTGGCTCTGGTAATTGTTTTGTTTGTCACTGGCTTTTATTTTGAATAAAAATTGTAGTGTTGACTATTTTCATTAGTTTTTATTCGTCGAACATCGTAATACCTATTTTAAGGTAGGTGTGAGGTGTTTGTTATTTATAACCCAGGTGCTAATAGAATTTCTAGTTTATCAAGTAAAAGCCGTACGTGTTCACTGATTTGACGGATACAAGTAAAGATCGAATGTGCAACTTGTTACTAAGATATTATAGTTGCGAACCGATTGAACGTAGTGAACAGCCGGCTGTCTGTGAATAGCTAATGAACTGACCTTGGTCAATACCGGGACCACACGCAAATGTGCCGGTTTTAAATTTTTTGCTAAAATAATATGCCAATCAAACGCAATCGTTGCACTCATTTCGAGAATAGCTTAGGTAACAGTGTCTGGTTTAAATGTAATTTGAGTAGTTTTAAAATTGGGTCAATAGTTTCTAATGTAAAGAGAATTTCGTAATAAACCTGCCATTTAAATTGATTGTCCATTTTTTAAGTTTAGAAAATCATATGTCTGCCCTTTGTTTTAAAGTGGGAGAGATATTGTACAAAGGAATTACATTTTTATGCTAAATTTCGTAGAAACATATTAAACTATTAATAAGAAGTTAGTCTTAGGGTTTTATGCTCCTCTCAAAAGAATCTACATCTATCTGTTGCAGAGTTTGAACTGGATGTGTTTAGAACCGCCCATCCGAGTATAGCAAGGACATTTTTTTAGCCATTAGGAACTCATGAAGATCCTTTGTTGTCCTTTCGTCTGTATTTGGTTTCTTATAAGATAATTTTCTATATAACTTATATAGAAAAAGAAAACTATCAGTACATGTCGTGTTTGAACCCTGTCCGCGTCCCATTATCGGGACTAAATGTTAGTTTGAGTTTATGGTAGGTAGGTACTTGTTTTTTTGTGTGTGCGATTTAAGAAATAATATATTCTTTTCTATTAATAAATAACTCAAAAACTTACAAATACAACTTACAAACAAACGATAAATTTTATTTATAAACAGTATAAAAATCTTAAATATTTTGCAACGAAACCACAAAAGGTCTGTCTAAATCAATTTGTCAAAAGTTGCACCGTAGCAAATTACAGCATACAAAAAGTATAAGCTGTCGGTTCTGTAATTAGCAATTATGTTCCCAAAATATAACTTTAATATTTTATAAAGGTGTTTTGGTCTTTTAAACATTGACCTTTATATAATACTTACAAGTCCTTATGCATATGTCGATATTCACTATATAATTTAAAGTCTTCGTATGCAATGGCTTTAAGATGATCGTTAGCAAAGAAGGCTAAATGGCTACCAGACACGGTAACTGTATTTTAATTTTTCGCCTATATTTTACTTCATTACTACCAAGAAAGAAATACGATAACGCATGGAAAAATACAGCGAGCACGTTGAAAATGCCACATAATCATAATGTTGAGGTAGGTTTAGGATTTTCATAAATATGCTGATATTTTTCTATCAATCTTACCTTTGTACTTACGTCATATTTCTTTTGATAAAACAAAGATAAAACCAAAGAATGACTTTGTTTTGCGTTACCATAGCAGGTATTTATAGCATGCTAATAACAATATGTTGAAGTAATAACAAAATATAAACGAAATATAAAAATATATTAATGAAAATTTTTAGGTGATTTCATTCATATTCATCTAGTTATGGAGTTGTTAACAAAAACATACATAGAATAAGTTTTATTTATTATCGAAATGTACATGGCCCTGGAATGATAAGCGTTTTATTTGTTCACTGGTATTTGGCTGGCTAAAAAGTAGCCCAGGCGGGTGGCCTTGAATATAATCGCGTAAGCATGCGATTTTCGGCGTTGTGGCACGAATAGATATTCATAATAACAACTGCGCCAGTTCATCGACCGTGCGCCCGTGGAGTCACCTTCGATATGCGTAGATAAATGGCAATTTGGCGTCCTCCAAACCGCTATCTGCTTGCGGCCTCACTGTCGGATGTTAGGGTAGGCGTAGCACGTTGTCGCGGTAGTCGGGCAATTTGTTAAGGTAGGCCTAACGTGTTACGTTGCATCAATCTAATTTGCGTAACAGCATGACGTCCTGACTTATTGGAGGCTTCGGTATACAATTATTTAAAAGCTTATACTCATATATTTAATATATCAACGATAGAAAAGGCATAGAATATTAAAATTTTCGTTAGATTCATCGTGTATCGTTACTTACAGTAACAAAAGAGGCGATGTGATATACTATGGTGTTGCAATCTAACACATATTTTCCTTTTTGACAATTAGAAAATTGTCGACAGTGTCACCGAATTTAGAACATATAGCATATCTAAGGAGAAAATATTACCAAAGGCTCTATTCCAGAGGAAGAATCTATCCCTAGTAATATCGTAAGACCTTTTATCAGGCTGTGCTTCTTTTGCCTACAGTCAGATTCTAATGTTAGCTATTTTTTTAATCGTATTGGTTGCGTCACGAGAATTTTTATCACCCGGCAAAGTCATTAGGTCGATGAACTTGCATCCTTGGCTTGTCCAAGATAATAATTTTATTTTAGACTTTCGATAATAAACGAATATGAAATTCTTTGCAGTTACAAATTATACAAGTAAAACTACCTATAAGTTGTGTATTGCAAAACCTGAACTTGAACCGAACATTTTGCTTCTATTTCCAAATGCAACCTTCATTTATGTTTGCAAATTGTATTTTTAGTTTTTAAAAGATTAATTTTTTACTGTTTTTAAAATAAGGTAATCATTGAGGTGCTGTTAAATGTATTTGATAAGTTTAATTTCTTGAGTGTCGGACATGTGTAAATTTGCATATTGGTTGCATTTATTATCGAGGTCAAAAGTTATCGGAAAGAGCGAATTATATTCTAAACATTTAAATTATATATTTAATAAATATTTTTTAAGTACTTATATTAAAATATATATAGGTTACTATAGTGTTTTTTTAACACGGGCTAGTATTAGTCATTAGGTACATAAGAAAGATATTTTCTAGTTTCCTTAATGTGAATTTAGTTGCAGTCTTTATCAGTCAAGTTTATTGCGATATTTTTATGAATCTCGAAGAAACATTCACCACTGACACCGATTCTTATATATATTTTTAAAACAGAATTAAGATTGAGGTGTGAAATTTTAGGTGCAGATGATGTCTGCGGTAAGCGGCCAAGAAGCAATAATCCGCCGTGTGAAGCAAGAAGTGGAGCCACCGCCGCACTATTCCCCGCCTGATCAATTGAGGCAGATGCCGCTGATGCAGCCCTGTGATGTAAGTTACGATATAGTAATGATAATATAACATTGTATAAAATGTACTATGTAACCACATCTGTGTCTAATTGCCCTATTATTTCTAAATAAGGGAGCGTTCAAGTATTACGTAACGAATTGGGGAAACGTTTTACTATTGGGTACAGAAAACATTACGGCACGTTATATGGGGGGAATCTCCAAAAATTGCGTGACGTAATACTTGAACGCTCCCTAAGCAAATAATATTAGCACTTTGGCTTAAAGCTCTACTGTGTAGGTACTGATTATGATAGGCAAATTGGTTAAAGTATGTTTTGTGTCGTCTGTTTTCTTGCAAGAGTGATAAGGACAAAATATTCATGCTATTTGACGCTTAACGTTCGTTTATGAATAAGTAGGTTAGACGGCAAATATATTATTATTAAGTAAATTTATAACTACGCAACGGTTATATTGATAAGAAAAGTATCGTTTCATTAATCTAGCCTGAGGTTGCAGCTTACATTTACATTTAGAAAATATTACTTAACTTATTTTCTTAAACATTGATAATAAAGCGTTTTGCAGAGGAAATTCGTTTATATTTTGTTCCTATGCAGTATAGGGGATACGGTATGAATGTCATAAAAGGTAATGTTCTTTAGTATATAAATATATGAAATTGGAATGCTTCATATGTAATGGAAATGCTGCCAAATTAAAGGTACACACACTACCACAGGGACAAACTTTTTAAATTTGTTTTAATTTTATTTTTTAACTATTTTTATGATTATGTACTACGAGGCATGCCTTTTAAGTTTTGTCGTTTGCAGAAAAAAACACAACTAGAACCTTATAGTACTTTTTATTGTTTTTCAAAGTATTCACCACGTAGCTTAATAGACTTTTCCATTCGCTCAAACCAGTTATTATAGCTTCTTCTTGCTTCGAGAACGAACAACTTTAGTCGGCTTTGGCTTGACTTGATTGTAGATTGTTGTTTGGAATCAGGATCGTAGGCATAGATCCAAGATTTGTCACCACTGATGATGTCGTAGACGTGATTTGACTCTCCTCGGTTGAACCTTTGCAGAGTTTTCTCACACCATCTGACGCGGGCCGCCTTGTGATCGTCGGAAAGCAGATGCGGTATCCAACGGCAAACTAGCTTTCTCACACCAAGCGCTTCATGCAAGATCTTCTGAATGGTTGTCCCTGAGATGCCTAATAGAGCGTCTATCTCTCGATATGTCACATGACAATCTTCAAGAATTAGTTGTCTCACAGCAATGACGTCTTCTTTAGTGAAGGCGGATTTTGGGCGTCCTTCGCTAGATTGGTCACTAACACTAGTATGTCTAGGCTGGAATTCTAAATACCAGCGTTCGACAGTCCGCAGACATGGGGCTTCATCACTGAACACAGATATTAGCTCTTCAAAACACTGAAGCCGTGTCAGGCCTCTTCTAAAGTTGTAGAAAATTACAGCACGAACATTTTCCTTAGAAAGACTCATTTTCGTACGTAACCTGATAGATTCCAATCGACGCTGTGACTAAACAATAGCATTAATTCTAATACTTTCAACTGTTTTGAGATTCAAAATTTAAACACATCGAATATAAAACAGTTCCAAATTCAAAATTGCCGGGAAATATGGAAACGACAGAACTTAAAAGGCATGCCTCGTATGAATGTTAACAAAATTGTGAATACTATATATTTGATTGTTATGATTACTAATAAACAAACGTTATGTACTTCGATTTCGTCATATGTATTAGATAATTAGATGATTAGTAATAAACAAATATGAAAGTTATATATAATCAGCAAATATATTGAGAGTTGCTCAAATATAAATTTTAACAATTCTATTAATTGATATGGTTTGTACGCAATCTTAGTTAACAATAGATATATACTCATAGGCCTCTCAATAATGTATACCTTCACAGCTGAACTTGGAGCCAAAAGAGGAGTTCTGCGTATCTCCCGGTTCTGGAAGTATAGTCGGCAACACCAGCCCTGAGCAGCAGCATTGCTCATCGACAACTGCTGCAGCTAGCAGCGGAGCAAGGGATGATGATGCACCACGTAGAGTCTGTCTGGTCTGCGGCGACGTTGCCTCGGGTTTTCACTATGGCGTGGCGAGCTGCGAAGCGTGCAAAGCCTTCTTCAAAAGGACTATTCAGGTTCGTATAATTTTTTTTTATAGAGACTAACCCAGGTGATGTTTTCTGGATGGCTTAGAGATATACAATCTGAAACATGGGTAGTGACGTGACCATAAATTGCTAGGGTTCAACGATCTTTAACGATTTGCAAACTTTTAAGCCGTTTGGACACAATAAGGTTACGGTTAAGGTTGGTGGACTCAGTTTCCGCATTTAGACTCATAATTTGTCCGTTGTGCGTAAAGTCCTGGCTAATTTAGCCAGCTTAGCTCCTTCCAGAAGAACAGAAGTCTCCTGGGCACTTCACAGGCTTCACGGAGCGACCTCACTGCTCCGAGGATTTCTGCACGTTGTTTAGCCACAGCCTCGCATTCCAGGACTACGTGCCTCTGGATAAGGGGATGTCTGTCGCGCCCAGGACAAAAAGATGTTCATTAAGGAGACAATGGCCCGTAATTGTCCCCACCATTTTTTTGAGATTGGTTCTGTTTAGGTTTAGAAGTTGCTTTGTCAGTTGCGGGTTAACTGCTGGCAGAGCCATTTTGGACTGTTTGCAGTCCGCACTTCGCGACCATCGCTGATGTTGGAGTTCAGCGGATTTCTGGCGAATCCAGGTTCGCACTAGCGAGAAGGGCAAGGGGAGGAGCGGATAAGGGCCACAATAATCACAATAATAGGGTCACAATAATTTTTATTCCTTTTTACTCCAAACAACAACTTGTATGTAGTAAAAATGCAACGGATATTTCCAATTGACACTTTTATATGCGACGTTGCCATTTTGAGTTACGCTTTTGTGCGAAAAGAAAGTAAATATCGTATCTAATAGTAGGTCAGTCGATTTGTCTCCGTGACCGATATTTGTTATGTAATTCGTCCTTGCGCAGGTGCCGATACCGTAGGCACCGTTTTAATCTTAACGAATAAGAATAAAACCTTAATTATTTTATTTGCTCCAAAAGTGCATTTTATTTTAAAGTCGGGACCGATGTATGTAAGAACGTACATCATAAAATAATATTTTCTATATAAAAAGTATTAGTCATACATACAACACAAAATTTATAGACTAATTTGTTATTTGTTTAAGTCAAATCGCTGATGTACTTTCAGCTATGCACAAAATTCTTACAAGTCGCTGACAGATGTCGTTCAAAGCTATTGCATACCGCACCCCGCTTCGTACTTTGCACTTAACATCAAATAACTACTTTTTGTGTTAATATCATAAAATTACATTCTGCAGTACGTATGGTTTTTACAATAAATTTAATATCGTGTGATGAAACGTTAAACTATTTTATTTATTACAAAAATATCTTTTTCTGAGTTGGGTATAGTGCGCGGTACACAAATAGCGGTTTAAATACACCAAAAGCACTTTATGAGATTTCTTGCTAAATACATGTTTAGTGATTCTTTTCATTATCTCTATTTGTACTTTACTATGAAATATGGGTTGTTATAATCGCTGCAATCCTTTTTTTAAAAATTTTAAACATCTGCAATCAGCCTCTTAGCTTTTATCAGATTTTATGAAATGATGGCAATTAGGGAACGAAAATCCATTTTTTTCCGTAATTCGCAAACTATCCAATTTATGGACTTCATCTTTTCGTGTACCAAGGCGCACCTCTCATATTTCGCAGTGTTATGTTTTGTAGCGGCTGCAGGATTTCGATATTAGAGCGGAAGCTGCAATACTTAATGAAAGGGTTGATACGAGATAGGTGTTGTTTAGTTTTGAAATTAAAAAGTTGCTATAAAATAAAATACACACATTACTTAAAGTTGAGATTTATTTAAATATTCACACGATACTTTTGAACATCTAAAAAGGAAACAAAGTAACCTATTAATTAAACAATTAATTTGTTATGATTTAAACAAAAGTGAACTTAGCGGTAATAGTAATGAACGTCGAAGGTATTTTTTAATCCGGTAAATATAATATTCCGTATCGCGGCAGTCGGCACCAGCGATTTTGAGGCTGATTTTTTTTAATGACTTCGTCATGAGTTCTCAGCACCATAACTAGTGTTGTTATGATGGTGCATGACCTTGTTTGACAAAAAAAATAATCAAAAAGTACTCAAAACCGAATCAGAGCACCTCACTATCGACGTGGTCTTGTCTGCCTTACCCATAAAGTGTATATAAAAAATCGGAGGCGCGGAGGATTGAACAAAATGCCTGTGCTTTGGTACGCAAGGGCGAAGGGGCTGCATTTCCCGCAGCGCCGGAGCTGTCCCAAAAACCTATTATTAATATTGTTCGGTTAGGTTAGGTTAGTAGTATATTAGTATTTTTTTTTTAATGAATTGATTTTTTTTTCATGCGCCATCATAACAATACTAGTTATGATGTTTACAGATCATAACGCGACTGTAAAAAAAAACAACGTCAAAATTGCTGGTGCCGCGATACGGAATATTTACCTTTAATCCTACCGAACTAGCACGGCAATACCTACCGGACGTTGCCGTTTTTTTACAATCGTCTGGTTGAACAAATTTGGAATGGTGTTTATCGACTAACATAACTGTTTGTATAAGATGTTTGTATAAGAAAACAAGGTTTTTATATATTCCTTGTACTTTTACAAAAATATGCATATTACACCTATTATAAAAAAAAACATAATGTTTTTTGTACCTTGTATATATGAAGATTGCCCTTATCTTTTTAACGTTATTGTTTATTTATTGTAATCTGTATTGAATTATGGATAGTTAGTTGTAATATCAGTTCCATATGTTGAAGAGAAAAAGTTTCATACAGTATTTTATAATAACCTACCTATGCAAGTTAACGATGGCTTTCTGTTTCTGTCCAACTGTCTTACTGTTACCATAAAGACACAAAGAAGTTTAGTATAATAATTTGTTAATTAATTAAAAATGCCTTAAAAAGCTAAGACTTGTTGGTCGTTCATTAGTTATTTTTCGATAGTATGGTATAACATAATTTTCATTTTCAAAGACCCAAAAATAGGAATCAACCTAATATAATTAGCTACGTATTTTGCAAGACTATCTTTGAACGTAATCAATACAATATAGGCATGTGAAAAAATAATCGATTATGGAAAAAATCGATTAAAATCGATTTTTTAAAAGTAAAAATCGATTTTTGTACGCGATCTTAATATTAAAAATAATCGATTATTTTTATAATTGAAAATCAATCGTAATCGATTTTTCATCTGCCACCTCCCGACATAATGTCTGGTCTTTTATAACCCCGACCTCGAACTATTAGGGATATTCGATATACATCGATGTTTACAATGCGATACATTGAATAGATCCGATGCTTTGAAGATGTATGGATATACTCGATGCATTGATGTATTTTTATAAAACATCGAAAGGGTGATAAAACCAGTTAATTTCACAAAAACTCATGTTTGAATTGAACACTATAATTTAAAAGTAAAATAAATTTATTTAGCAGCACAAGGTTACAAACAATAAAAAAGACAACAAAAATACTGCAATGTGCTACTCAGCATCTATCAAATTTCACCTAAAATCTATCAAAACGAGATTAGGTTAGTTTCAATTTTGATTATTCTAAAACTTTAATTTATGTTTATAATTTCTATTGTTTATTTTAATTAATAAACCCATGAAAAATAAAATATTTAAGGTGTTTATTTTGAAATTATTTCAAAAATTGGAAAAAAAATCGATTTTTTATACACAATGTCACATCCCTAAATTACAATAGGTTAAATAAAACCCTTAACTTGGATAAGATTACCTACCACAAATGTAAAACGATTTTAAACTATTGGCTCAGAACATTCAACTATAACAAAACAGAAGCATTATTTAATCCTCTATTATATTTTTTTCCTTCTACCAACTGTTTCATGCACACATTCAATTTTAGGTTTGTTGGTCATTCACACACACACAATCACACAGTCATCAGTTATATTCATTATTTTTCACTACCATCGTTTTGAAACCAATTGTGTTATTTATTTTGTTTCTTTTCTAACTGTGAATTGTTTAGTCGACTATATAGTTAACACAAAGAAAACACACAAATTATATAAAGGTACAATACTGATTGTTTTGCAATATTTGTGATTCTAATATTATCTTTATTTTTCTATAGTTACATTAATTAACTAATAAGTAAGTAATGAAGTAATGAATCATATAATTATATTTAAAATCAAAATTGTAACTTAAGTACATAAAACGCTATTCATTAAAACATGTTAATTAAAGAAGAGCTTCCCTGTCACAGGTCTCAATCTGAACTTTACTATGTATAATAGCTAAATGAAAAAAAAAAACAATTTTTAAATAAATGCAATAACAGTGAGAATTTGTTGTTGTTCAAACTTGTTTGACCTTATTTAGAAAATAGAATAATTTTATGTGCATATGAAAATAAAATATGCATTCATAGTTTGTAATATTAGAGCCGTTTGGACACAGCGTTGTAATTAGTTAAAAGTCACGATTAGTAATTTTATAAAAATAAATAGTACTAAAGTCTGTGCGGAAGTGGTTTTTTTTTTGTTATGTTGAAAAACTTACCTACAGCTTTGCAGTAATCTTTATATGAAGGATCCCAATAACAGTTTATAATTTTTGTGAATTTATGACGCGTAGCATTATATTCGTTAGCATAAACGGGTATAATATTTCCGTGCAGACTTTAACTAAATATCTCTTGGATATCACTTTAAATTACTATGTAATAATTATGTCTATAACTAAAATTAATGTAAATTAGAGCTGGAACATACTCGTGAACGGGTGCTACTTGTGGTGACCTGAGTTCGAGTATGCGGTGATGTTAGTTATTTCGACTGTGTATTTGCGTGTGGTTCCTACGACAATGTAAGTGCGTGCTCCTATTTCACCATGCCTACTGCTGAAAGTGGACAAATCTTTGTTTTTAATTTTTTATTATTATTAATTACCTATTATTTACTGAAAATGTCATGTGGAACATGGTTGCAGCTCCTTACAAACATTGTGTAAAACAAAAAAAAAACTTGTCGATTAAAAAGAGTGGCGGAGAGTTTATTGCCACTACTTCTCGTCCGTTCTACGCCCTTGATTTGAGAACTGGCAGTACATGTAAAATTAGAAACATTTAATACTTATGTATTTATTTAATGACGTTCATAAGTGTACATTGTGTTACCTAAATGAATAAATGATTTTAAATGAATAAATAACTTTTGTCCCTTGTAAAGTACACTGGAATTCAAAGGATGAAGCTATAAGGTCAAAAACGTATGTCGGATACTAAAAAGGCAATATTTCTATTTCTGTATTACTCCGGAAGCGTGCCTAGAGCGTGCTTCTAACGATAAATCAATCTAAAATTTGATTTTTTCGACATTATAGGGGAATATAGAATACACATGTCCGGCGGCGAACGAGTGCGAAATAAACAAACGCAGACGGAAGGCGTGTCAAGCGTGCCGGTTCCGCAAATGTCTCCGCACGGGCATGTTACGAGAGGGCGTGAGGTTGGATCGAGTGCGCGGAGGAAGGCAGAAGTACCGGCGTGGCCCTGACCAGCCTACTCCAAACCAACCTAGGCCACAACTTGATGATATCAAGGTATTTGAAAATTGTGTAGTTTCTTAGATTTTTTGTTTAAACAATAATTTATAAAGAAAAAAATAATCAGAATTTTCAGGCCTAAAGACCTTGATAGCGCCACTAAAGACGTGCAATGTAATTAAGTGCGATTTATATTTTAATGATAAAAAAGTTCATTTGGATTGTTCAACTAATTTGTGTTTTAGGTGTTAGAAGCGCTAATATCATACGAGCCGGAGTTGTATACGACGGCGCCGCAGACCGCGGCCGTGACGGATCCAGCGGCGCGATCGTTGGCCGTGCTCGCGGACTTGTACGACAGAGAATTAGTAGGCGTTATCGGCTGGGCCAAACAGATACCCGGATTCACTGAACTTACCCTCAATGATCAGGTAAACGTCATGTCTATTCATTATTAGTATAGAGAAATATTAAGTTTTTTTTAAAGATGCATTTTTTTGGATATGTGAAGCTCCTAAATTATTCCGCCTAGTAGAGTTCGGCATTTACATCATAAATTCATCATAGTTTAGTTATAATAATAAACATTAATTGCAGACAAGAGTAGACCAAAAATGTCAGTAAAAAGAAAACCTGACAGTAAATGAAAATTAAGAGAAATTAAATTGGTTTTTTTAGGAAAGAATTAGCGACAAATTCCTTTTATATACGTTTGTACGAAGTAATATAATAATTGTTCTAATCTAGACCTGGTCTTATTAAAGCATTAAACTTAGCAAGTGTTATTTTTTATAATTTATTTGAATCTTCAAAGATTCTACCTTTCTCCATTATTTTCAACAGATGCGGCTGCTACAAAGCACATGGGCGGAGATGCTCAGTTTAATGTTGGCATATAGGTCTATGTCGAGTGGGAGCGCCTTGCGTCTGCGTTTCGCTAACGATTTCACGCTTGATGAGCAACAGGCGAGGGAAATTGGTGCACACGATCTCTTCTTACAGGTATTTTAATTTTCATACATAATACAAGAACTACTAAATTACATTTTGTATTATTATATTTGTGAAAGCAATGTCATAAAAAAATACTAAATTATTTTTTAATTTTATTTTATCCAGTTTGTTTTGAACTTAAAGCCACCTTATTCAATTTGGAAAATTTGAAAACTTATTTCGGATTCATATTTATACCTCGCTATGAAACATTTTTTGACTGTTATATTGTATGCGGGTTCCTATTCCGAAAAGGCAGGCCCTGTGGCAATAATTAAAAACCTATTTTGCGATTTTGACAAAAACATCGTAAATTTCGATTTAGATCGGTAGATAGTCGATTTTTCACGAAAACTTTTTGTAATTTGATTTTCAGAGATCACATCCATAGGTACACTAATCTACTGTATTGAGACACGTTTTATAAAAAATATAAATTTATCTTTCAGATATCGGGCGTAGTGCGTCGCCTAGAGCGTGCGTCTGCGCAGCGTGAGGAGTGTTATTTGCTGAAGGCGTTAGCTTTGGCCAACAGCGAGGCGCGTCTTGACGAACACGCGGCCTTGCGTCGCTTCAGAGATTCCATACTTGCCGCCCTCAACGATGCCGTCTCGGCCCTCAGGTGAATGTTTTTTCTTTTTATTAAAAATCCTACAATTTTGTCCATTTGCTTATTATTATAACCGCGCATACAAAAAACAGGCTCAATTATTTCATACCTTAGTTGAAATTTTCTTACAAAATCCAGTTTTCAAACGTAAATTGTAAAATACTGTTCCTAACTCCTCGCTGTAGTTCATTCTTTTCAAGTTTGCTTTCTTTTCATGTATAGTATAGTTCCGAACCATCCAACCAACCCATCCTTAGTCCATATTATAAAATGCATAAACCGAAATGAATTTTAAGATGTTCCGATTGTAAGAAATCTTACAATTTTTGTATGCAGAATTGTTATATTTGATCAATTAAATTTAACTCCTAGGCCCTGCGACGCAAACGGCGCCTTACAGCAGTTATTGCTCGTGCTCCCAGCCCTACGTCTCGCGGACGTAGCCGTTAGACGCTTTTGGACGGCCGTACATCGCGATCGACGTACGCCTATGAACAAACTCTTCATTGAAATGCTCGAGGCGTGTCTGCGGTAGGTTGGATTTAGGAAATCTTGGTTGTGCAGGCTCACTTTCCAGTTTTAAACAGTTAGTGGATGATAGGAATAGAGGATTGCGTCGGAGATTGTCGAAGGGGAACCGCGCGGGCTTTCCTACCAAGCGAAGACACGTAACATTGTATGGGGCTGTATTTTACCGATAGATTTTCTTATAAAGCGAAATTTATTTTAATGATCTCAAGCTTATCGGGTCTCGATGGCGTTACATTTATCACGAATTGTGTATTAAGATCATTCAAGCCATACAATGAGTCGTGTCGAGATTTTTTGTAAGAATTTCTGTATATAATGTCTGGTTTGTGGAGACGCGATATGTGTAGCATTTAACGCTTTGTATCCCGAGAATGTATGTAATCCGAGAACAATATTAAACTTATATTGTTAATATTCAAACTTTAGTGTGATGTGCGAATTGGGAATGTGAATAAATACCAAGTGAGAAAGTTAAACGAATAGCAACCATTCAGATTGATTTGATATATTAATTAACATCACTTCAACAAGTTGACACGTCATATTACGTCCGTTTTTCCGATCGTAATGAAAGTTTTGGTTTAGTCTTACGTTTAACTTTCACTCTTGGTGGATATTATGGCTGTGAAAGGATCGTCAGAAACATTATGTGTTGATAAATAATATCGCGTCCCCACACCGTTAATGTACAAAATGAACGAATGTAGTACAAAACTTGTTACTATTTTTGTATAATATTAAAATATACGTAGTTTTTTAGTACTGTGCGAGGTTGAGATTAATGGTCGGGTAGAGGAATCAATGTTGTTAGTTATAATTGTTATTTTTTTTCTCTAATTGTTTCCTGAATGACGTTAATTTTCCAGATGGTTGGTTATTTTAAGTTTACGCCTGTTTCTTTACTTATGAGTGTACGAGGAACTGGGTGTTAAATTTAATGAGCATTTATCTTTTAAACTCGACTTCTTTGCTCGACCAACGTGAAATACAATTCTCTGAAATTCAGTCGGTTTGATTTCAATGTTTGCATAGATTATATCACCAAGTGATCACTGTTTTATTGACTATAGCGCCACCTTTTTGGACTGCTCTGAAAACTCACCTAGACCAGTTGTCAAGAGAGAAATATCGATACATTGTATTCAGACAATTTATACAGTTACGATTTTATTTCCAAATAAATAGAATAGTAACCATGGCAACAAATATTTTGCTAACTTTAGTGCGCGTTTTCTATAAAACGGCCTTATGGCCGTGAAAGTTTCCAGAGTAGTCTACTTATATATGTATATTTATACAATAATTCTTAAAGATTTATTTATTAAATTACCTATTTATACAGCTGTTCCACATATACCATATATATTTCCCCATGTACATGCCATAATAAATTTTATATAACTCTAAATATCTATAAATTGTTAAATGTAATTATGAATGTTATATTAATGGTGGAACAGTATTATGATATAAAATACCTCAGCTATCTGTTACCATAGACAAGTGTCAGGACCATAGAAGTTTACCGCGAATCGACGAAATGGGATCTGAGTTTCGCTTTATTTAGTTAAGGGTTATTTTCTTGAGATAATTTGGTTAATTGTGACTTTTTATAATGCATGTCTACTATTCGTAGAGGGGGAATTTAAGAAATGTTGCTACTTAAAAATCAATAACCACATTTATCAGTTAGTTCAGCCATTAGGGCGAATCGATAACTTTATTTCTCCTAGGAAGTGGATTATCTGTGGAATAATTTTAAGTTTTTATTAATAATCAGGCGGATATAAGATGCTGTGTTCTTCAATACAAAATCTAATGCACTAATTGATAACAATTCAATTGTTTTTGGTAAAATTTAATAAAGCCGTTAAAACATAGTTTTTCGGTTTGAATTCCCAGTGTCTTTTAGTTTGTTTCTATGTTAAGAATGATGTATTAGATGTTAAAGACCTCTATGTTGGAGCGATGTAGGCGGGTGTGATATTTGTACAAATAGTGAGTTGTGCCAGAGTAGAATAATTTCATTATACGTTAAAAAATTACTTTTATTATCTTTGAAAAAGTCGTTAAAACGATGCAATATTTCAAAATGAATTTACAATTATTATTATTTCGGGTCTGGAAAACTATGTGGAATAAATTATTAATTCACTCTGATGTTTTTATTTGAATAAAACAAAATATACTTTACTTTTTTTTTATTTACAGCTTAAATCTTAAACGATCGCGAACTGATCATAGAGCAATTCCCTTACTATGTAATACTCTTCCGATAAAACTCCTTCCAATGCAATTCGACCACTCTCCATCTGGAATAAAAAAGGTTTTGACTACGATAGTAAATGTTTGTATTCTTAGGCCAAAACCCTTGGCCTCAGATTTCTGTATGTGTTTCTTGATATTTTTGAAGTTATACTTCTTTAGGCGCGTTATGAAAAATTGATGAGAGTGAAATTTTACGATGCGCGCGCTGAGACACGAAGTTGTCAGTGTGATTATAGCGTGCGCGAGCGAGATGGGAATAAGACAATCTACAAGTAAAAAGAAATAGAATATGCGTGTAGTTAGCAGCTATGCCAAGAATTTTGAATGACCATAATGACATTTACCTTTTAAACAAATAAAGGAGTTTTAATTATTTTTTCAAAGAAATTTAGCAATGCTTTTTCACAAAGACCTATTGTTACATAGTTAAAAGTTTATGAAACATACCAGGTTATTAAATTGAATGAATAATAAAATAAAATAATAAATAATAATAATAATTGTTATTAATATTAATTAATAATTGAATAATATACTAAATATTAAATATTATTAAATTGTTTACGTTAAATATTAATTATTAAATAATTATATTTAAAAAAAATAAAGAAAGCCAAAGAAGTATAACTTCTTACGCGCGTACATAAGTACACGCACCCTTTTTTTTTAATGGTAGCCTTCTGTTATTGACATGTAAATTACATATTTATGTCAATAATATATAAATATGTAGGTCAACACATACTGGCTGCCTCACGATGTTTTCCTTCACAATTTGAAAATTATTATTATGATATGTATAAATGCGCACATAGAAAGAAAAATTCTTTGCTGCTGTCGTGATTACAGCACACTACCTCACGAGTGACAGCTGCAAGCTCAAGCCGCTAGGCTAGTCTAGAAAATTGAGGGTCTTTGATACGAAATGAGCATTGTTGGCCAAGTGGCTTCAGCATGCGACTCATCCCTGAAGTCGTAGGTTCGATCCCCGGCTGTGCACCAATGGACTTGCTTTCTATGGGCGCATTTAACATTTGCTCGAACGGTGAAGGAAAACATCGTAAGGAAACCGACATGTCTTACGCCTTTAGTACACCTACGCGTTCGTATGCGGCTGCGAGTCTTTGCGAAATAATTGCGGTAGCGAAATATCTGCGGAACGTTAGTACACTGCAGTTTTTTCGCAAGGAAATGTCATTGTAACTTTATTTCTTACCATCTATCCCCGTCTTTTCTTGATTTTTCCTCCATGCCACCTCTTTTTTGTATGCATTTTTGTAATTAACATGCCCAACTAAATATAATTCGGGATAATTTCGAATCAAATTTAATAATAATTCAATATTTTCGGCTTCCATTGTGCAAAATTCTGTCCTCACTGACAGAACGCGTGGTGACGCATTGCGATGCGAAACGGCTGCGTCTGTGTAACAGCCATTTCGCAGTTACTTGCGAAACAATACCGACAAGGACGCAACTATTTCATCTAGCCATATAATAGAGCGAGACAAAACACATGCGAAACATTGCCATACAACTTACAGTTTTTTCGTCGTTTCGCTGCCGCATGCGATTGCGTAGGTGTACTAAAGGCGTTAGACCCAAAAAGTCGACGGCGTGTGTCAGGCCCTGGAGGCTGATCACCTACTTGCCTATTAGATTTAAAAATGATCATGAAACAGATTCAGAAATCTGAGGCCAAGACCTAAAAGAAGTTGTAGCGCCACTGATTTTTTTAAAATACAGAACCACAAAAACATGTACAATAAAATTACAAAACTACTTTTAATGAAGTCTTACATTATATGTAGCAGAAATAAAAAAACTTGAACCTACCCTCCGAATAGCGATAGTTCCATTACAGCATTCCAGCGCTCCTGCGTTAAATTCAGCGTTAAGCCCGTGCTTGGCTAGAGCGCTTCTCAGCTCAGAAAGCTTCAAAGAGTTGATGAATGCCGCCGCGTGACCCGGTGTGTTACCCTCACAGGCCTCTAGTGCTATCATGTCGTCTAGAACTGATTCTTCTGTGGAAATTAAAATTAAACTGCTGAACTTGGAAGAACCCCAATTTTTATTTAATAAGGAGACAAAAATCACAGATACAGGATATTGATTGAGAAGTGCCCTTAAATTGCTTCACAGATTAGAAATATATATATATATAAAGAACACATTTTTCAATTTCAATACAAGTCTGAACATCTGAGTCCAATAAACATACATTTTATTTGTTAGTGAATTTATCCATTTTATTAAGTGCGGTGATCCACATAATAAGTGGTTTAAGGCCAGTGATAATTACGTTCATCACAAACAGTAAAAAACGCACAAGTAAAGATAACATTTAATTTTCGTTAAAAAGACGATGCCAGCTAAATACAATGTCGATGTATTGTTCGTGATATTGAAATATTTGTTATTTTTGCATTAGGTCACTTAGTAAGTAAATATTTAGATATACCTTTTTGTAGGTAAACATAAAAAATACGTAGCATTTTATTTTTTATGGTCCTCAAATGGGTCAAATTTGTCCCTTATTAGTAGCAACACTTATGAAATGTCAATTCTACGGAATAAAAATCTGAGTTTAATTAAAGGAACGATTTTGTTAAAAAAATAGCGTTTCACTTCTCCCTTACTCCTCTATCCTTTGCCTTTATCTAAATAGAAGAGAAATTAAAGAAAATATTGTAACGCTAGGTCCCTTCGTGGCATACGTATTGTGTTGACTTAGTATGTACGATTCGTGTAACAACATACCACTGTTAGGTTCCCTAGCTCGAGGTTCGGCCACTGTAGCTGTCAACCAGGCCAGTTCCGCATCTCCAGCTGTCCGCCAAGACATACCGCTCATCAGACTGTCCGTCAGTTTTACCTGTAGGCGGATATTATTTAATCAGAAGGTACACTAACAATATACAGTAATCCCCCGTGGTCTACCGCGTTACAGGAAATCGTGTTGTAGGAGTATTCTCGTAAAATAAATTTTAATTTTATATCAACGAATTTGGAACAGGTCCGAAGGTACGCAAAACTAATTATTGACAAATCATTATAAATTTCACACTACAGAAAAAGAACGACATATACATCATTCATTACGACATATACACATTATTAATCCAACTAATTATAATATTCTTAAGGTCCAAGGCTTATTTAAGTATATTGAGCATTACCAAAGCTTCAACTTGTGTCTCGAGACATTTCTGAATACGGACCAAAATTTAATAACAGCTTAATTAAATATGGATTGAGGTCATTACCTCTATTTGTTACGATAGCTTAGTAACCATGACAACAAGCACGGTAGGGCAAGTGCGGAAAGATAAACGGCATAGCGATTATGTGAATCTATATAATATTTATTTGCTACGCGTTATTTCCCAAACAGACTCTATAAGCTGTGTTCGTACACGTAGACTTGGTTTAAAGTATGGGGTAGATGAAAAAACCATCATTTTTGAATATAGGAAATGTTTTAACAATTACAAAATAAAATATAGAAATTTAAGCATATGGGCAAAGCATCCAACTAACACAAGCGCACTGGCATGCACGCACTAATTCCACGTTACCTGCGTGCACGCACATACATATTCGCGCGAAACAAGCCAGACCAGTTTTTGTGGTTACGCGCGAGTGTCTATAAAAAGATGTCAAACTAAAGTATCGATACATTTTCAGTAAAAAAATGTAAATAAAATAAATAGAGATACTAAATAATAATATATGCTACAAAAGTATGAAAAGGGTTTTCTGGTCTTTACGTCTTTACGTAAACACAATTTCTAGAACTTAGTTTATAGCCTCAATAAAAAAAATGGTACCTGGTAAATGTGCGATTCAGTGGTGGCATCCACTACGTCGCCTTTTCCAGGGGTGTACATTTTTTCTATACCTTCATTCTCACAATGTTTTCTGTAATATTAACAATTGTCTTTTAATATTGTTTTCTGTTAACACGACATATATAACTAAAACTTTTTCAACGGATATAAACACGAATTTATCACATATTAAATGCTTATATAACTCGTCATTTTTTCTTCTTCCTCAAAATCAAAGTGGTTAGCGAGAGACGACCACATTAAGTCCATCATACTATTTTTGTAAAAATGCACCGAAATATTGCAAATACCAATTTCCTTTAAAGCTTAAACAACGTCTAAATTATCTTTATTCCAATATAATATAGTCAACTTAAAAAAATCTGTGTTAAATATAAGGCAATGTTGTATTTTGGAAGTTGGATATTGCTTTGAATTGGATTTTGATACTACGGAAGCCCTATCTTGTTATAACTTTGAGGCTGAAAAAACAAACCCAGTGATAGCGCACGCGCGTTATAACATCTCTAAGGCACACTCAACAACGCATACTTGAGGTCTTTATCTTAACTTATATTTAACATTGATACTAAAAAAAAACTTATTGGACTTATATTGCTTAACGAATAAAAGTAGAGTCGAGGCTCCATCTTGACTTTTGACGGCTCGTTGAGGGAACGCGAGACAGTACTGATTGAGTATTGTGGTGTTGAGATGTTGAATCGAGTTGAATCTTTGTGGTTAAGTAAATTGTGATTAATACTGAGATCAGTGCCCTGAACCCGCTGCTCGTTATTTTTAAGTGTTATTTGTAGTGTTAGACGGAATAGATTTTAACTAAATATTGTACATTAATATTTCTTGTCTTTTGTGCTCGAACCTTAGGGAGCGTTCAAGTATTACGTCACGCAATTTTTTGAGATTATTGGACCCCCCATGTAACACGTCGTAACGTTTTTCTGTATCCAATAGTAAAACGTTTCGTGACCACCCAGTGACTCTTTATACCAACAACACCATTATGTGGTGTAAAGTACTGGAAAGTCGTAAATAATATTAACAATAACGCGTAATTACATCCCCGCCCCGCATCGTAACGTTTTACAAGAGGACCCTCCCCCCCTCCCAAAATTCGTTACGTAATACTTACTCAAATGACGCCCACTAAACACGCTAATGACGTCAATATCGATGGAGTGACAATATCTCTAATATATAAATACCTCAGCGTGTTAACAGCATTAGGTCCAGCCCTTAACGCCACTATAGCCCTGGGCTTTGCATGTGCCACGACTCGAAGTAGGGACTCCCCGTCGCACCTTCCTTCCAACTCTATGTACTGAATACTAGCTTTAATCGCTATCTGTCGCACCGAAGACATGCATTTACTCGGTATTTCTATTATTTCCTCTGAAAATAAACATAAATTGTATTTATATGTATCTTGTATGTATGTGTATATATTACTAGCTGACCCGGCAAACATTTGTTTTGCCATGTATATTATTTCTAAGCATCGTGAGGAAACCGACGTGTCTTAGACACAAAAAGTCGACGGCGTGTGTCAGGTACTGGAGGCTGATCACCTACTTGCCTATTAGATTTAAAAATGATCATGAAACAGATTCAGTAATCTGATGCCAAGACCTAAAGAGGTTGTAGCGCCACTGATATATTTTTTTAAATTAAGTTACTGTTAGTCTAGTAGTCATGTGACAGTTTCTATACGAAGTCACACAATAGTGCGCGAAGTAATACGTATGTGTTATGTCTATGGCCGAAAATGCCATATTTGAAGAAATGTATGGGACTTCGCCCTACAAAAATAATATACCTTCAGGCTCAGGTTTCTGCGGTGGGGCGGGAGGTACGTCACGTATTTCCCCTTCAGCATCAACTATTTCTGCTAATCTGTAGTCTTCAGGCTGTAATGTTAACAGTTTATTAAATGGCGTACGCGCAACACGTATACAATAAATTATAAAACACGGCAACAAATACTTCCCTTATTACTTGCAAACTAAATTGTTTCAAGTAATGGATGCGAGGTTAGATTCTATTATTTGTTTTTGCTTAAAGCACGTCGCTGACGATGTGCACGGGGTTCGAATATCAGGCATAAGAGTTGCGCGGTCAGACCGCTAGGCCTGCTCAGCAATTAATTGCAAAGATTAATGGTACTATTGTATTAAATATATTTTTCTATGACATATCATAGATAAATATCTTCAGGTGGGGTGACCCTTGACTAACTGATGCGTATTGAATATTTCTTTTTGTGATGGATAGTCCATTTATTGTTAAAATAATCACGCCACGTTCAAATTAATGAAGGTGCGGAAAGAGATCCGTTACAGGACGCAGCATAGCTAAAAACACTGTAATGTCATTATAATTTGACAGTAGTATTCGACTTAAGGTCCTTTAACACACGAGCATATTAATTCTAAAAGGTGGGAACTGACCAAAGTTACGAGGTGTAATGTAACACGTTACACAGCGAGTATTCGTGCAGTCAGTACGTCGTGTTACGGGGAAACCAGCGAGCAACGAGCCGCTCGTTGCTCGCTTTGAGTGCTCCACCCAGCGGTCGGTTTTTCAGCGAATCCTTTGACTGTTACGCGGTTCAGTCAGTACCCGTTGCACATCGCGAGTGATCATGATTATGATTTTATATAAATTGTGTCTTTTTGAGTACTTTTGGTCCAATTAAATTCAACAGTTCTTCAAAATCGAGACATGCGTACAAAGGTTTTATACTGTCCAGTAATCATTCGGTTTTTTAATATTGCAATCAATACCACCTCATACGCCTGTGTTTTTAAATAAGTTTGATGTCCAGTAATATTTCTTCTTCTTCTTCTTCTTAATTTGGATGAAACAATAATTAAATAGAATGAAAGATATCAACACGTCCTCGCTGTTGGCCATCTCGTGAACACTGGCGAAAGCGGAGCACAGAGTTTTGACGAGCATGTTACGCCGATTTTAGAACACAGCGTAATATGCTCGATGCGTAACACGCTCGATGCGAATGCTACATTACACCTCGTAACTTTGGTCAGTTCCCACCTTAAGACTGACAACGCGTTCGCGAGCTCTCTGACAATGAATGTTCCATGGGTGGGCGGTATCACCTAACATCAGCCTTATGCCCGTTTGCTCTCTGTTTTATATAATAAATGTAATCATATTAATATTTAATAAAAAAAATACAATTAATGACAACGCGTAGCAAATAATAATTAAATTCGTATGCATAATAACAGGCTCTAGCAAATAAATACCCGTATAATTTCGCCGTAGTCATCCGCCCTGGTGCGATCCTCGTGACAGGGGTACATGGCGTGGTGTCTTTTGTTTGACTTGAAGCAGCCCCCGGCTCTATACTCGGAGCGGACGGGGATGTCATGACGCCCAGTCACCACCCACATCTCCAATTCACCATCCGACTCCGAATCTGATGATAAACCATCCACTTCTTCTCTGAAAAAAAAAACAAAGGACGTATTCACCCAATAATGCGAGCAACAAACGAATTGCTTTTCGTGAAAGTTAAATATTCCTACGTTTATATCCCCTGTATGTATGTTCCGTACAAAAAATAAAATCAACTCATTTGTGTTGCGCGCCTCGGAAGATACTCCCGAATAATATTATTATTACAATATTCACGGACAAGCCGGGTCGCAATAGCTTGCAAAATCCGTTCATTCTTGTTTGCCTCCTTTACATATTTAATAATTTTATCAATTTAACAGTTTGTAAATCATGTAATGTTGAAATTTAGATAAATATTATAAAATGGACAATCAATGAAAACAGCTGCGCATGCCAATGGCCATAATTCATCATATGAATTACAATTTACAACCAGGAAAGATTAGGTACATATCGGAGGGCTTAGACGGGTGCGAAGCTACCGACTCCCGAGCCTTTGTGGTTATTTCAGCATAATTAACACTTTACCCAAATAAAGCTGCGTATAAATTACGCGCGGCAGCCCCGCGCGCCCCCCCCCAACACTCGACCAGAGTTGACTACATTTGCCGCGCGAGCCAATATGAAGATATAAAAATAATAAATAAAGCATACCAGTTACTATTGAAACCTGCGAGTATGGACGCGCGTGGTCGGGGGGCCCCCCCTTTTTCCATTGTGATTCACATCTAATTGTAAAAAAAAAAAAAAAAAGGGTTGGTGATGAAAAAGTTAATTTAAACTTATAGCGTGAAACTTCTGGAAGACATAAGATGTGAAGCCGTTGAAGACACTATAAAATTATATATCTTTAGCGCTATACAATGAATTATAAACGGCACTTTTCTTGCCTTAGTTACATTTGCCGCGCGAGCACCCCACAACCCCCCCCCCTCCCGCCCCCCCCCCCCCGTGCCCTCCCCCCGCCCCGCGCCAACGAGCGAACCCCTTTGATGCGGTCTCAAGACCGACACGAGCGGATCGACCCGCGGCACCTCCCGAGCGCGGCAATGTTCGAGTCGCCGCGCGCGGCGACCCCGTCTACAAAGAGACCCCCCCCCCCCCGCCCCCGCAATGTTCGATGGTTTGCCGCGCTTAATGTATACGCAGCTTAATATAAACATATTATTAAGAAAAAATGTAAATTAAAGGTTTTTAGTTTAAACAAATACTACACAAATGTTTATTTATCATATCCTCAGAATGTCATTTGCATTTCACGCATAGTCGTCTATGGAGAAGACGCGCAAGAGGGTGGACTTGCTGATACTAGATTAATCGACTGTTTAAAATATAATTTATGATTTTAATAAAACATCCCTAAAACACTGAGCAAAATACAACAATTCACTTACTTCACAGGATCCTTGACTTTACTCCGTTGCTGTTGCATGAACTCTTCTAGTTCTGCGCCCTCTAGCCGCACTCGGCGGCGTACTGTCATCTCTATGGTACGGTCGCCGCCCTTGTCTATGAGATCTCTGGCAAGCGTGCCTGGTGATGTTCTGAAATTGAATAGCACATCTTATATATTTCTCGGCGCAACGGCGACTTCTTAAATAAATTGCATATGAGCATACCTGGCAGTTAATACAATAGAATTTTGTGATTGTTGAGCCCATAAAATGAAGAGGTCTCTGGCGAATCCTGATTCTAAGTCTGGGAAGGAAGCCAACACCACCTTGGGCCCAGGTGTCCTAGTGACCTCAGCCACAGAGTGACATAAATGCAGGTGTCGTAGGGCAAAAGGATTACTTCGGGCACCTTCAAAAGCACGAGTTAACTTGTCACTCATCCATTCTATCTGCAATTGTATTTTGTTATGATTAGAAACAATTGCAAGAAAAAAGGGAAATTAAAGTAAGATAAATTTTATGGTTTTTGTAACACTTACTGATTCAAATAATTTGTGAATATAGATTTTACTTTTCTCTTAAAAAGATAATTTCATTTAAATCATGTTCTTAATTGAATCAAAGTAATATTATATATTTATTTCTTACCTGCGACTTAGCAAACTCTACCACATTGTAACTGACATTTGACAAGAGTAACAGTGAATATGCAACGAGTCCTGAGTCCTTATTTCGCCAAAGCTGATCCAACATGTGAGCTAACTCTAAGACTCGCCCTGCTGTGTCTGTGCAAACCAGCACAGATCCACCACCCCGTAAAGTTGTTAGTATTGTTGCTGCAACATAAATTACATATTATAAAACTATATGAAACTAATTTTTATAACTTAATATAATAAAAAAAATATTGGAAAGTATCTGTATTTTGCAATACACCACTTTTGCTTGTTAAAGTATTTCCAAACCCACTATTACTTAATCTTTTAAGAAAAGAATATACCAACTTGTGTTACTACATAAAGTATTACTTTTTAGTCTATGAGAGTCAATTAGTCTTATAGAATATAGATATGTATAAACAGAATAAGTATTTAATTTATAATATACAAACTCATAAGTTTTTCATCCCTCAACCTTCTCCTCTGCTGCACATAATCTGCATTTGTAGCTCCTAATAGTAACAATGATGGTCTCATAATCTTTTCAATTTCACACCCATTAAGATGCCTCTCCTTCTTATGGTTAAAGTCTGGTGCATAAACAATATCCTCTTCACCCGGGGCGGCTATACGCCATATTGTTCCACCAAGAAGATGTCCTGCTGGTACTGGTGTTATACGGAGTCCTAAACCTTTGCCTAAAAATCACAGGATTTAAACAAGATATTTAGAGCCAATAGATAATGCCTAAATACTAAGTATAATTACAAAATTGTAACTGTTTTTGTTAATATAACTTTTTATACTTAAAATGTATGAAGCCTTTTCATTCAAAGTTACCTTACCCTTCATATCAATACTCTGATTATATTTCAATTGGGTTATTCTATCAAATGCAGTATCAACATCATCTAAAGTAAACAGGTCAAAATCGGTCATATTTTTATGTGACTGATATAAATCATACATAAACATTTGGCCCATTTTGAAGACAGGTAATGTGGCATATATTGGACAGTTAAGACCCAATTGTCCAACCGCATATGGAAGTGCTCCTAAGTGTAACGGGTCAGAATGTGATAAAAGTACTGCATCTATACTGTTTACATGCCTGAAAAAGTTTTGAAAAAAAGATTAATATAAGAAGAAAATAATAATATAGTCAAATAATATATATCTTTTAACATAACATACCTTTTTAATTCCTTAATAAAGTCTGTATCGAATTTCTCGTCCCAGCCACAGTCTAAGAGGAATTTAAATTCATCTATTTGCAACACATAACAAGGAGGAGATTCATCCCCAGCTCCAGAGAGGCAGTGTAATTTTATAATGGAGGTCATATTTGGATTTCCTCAATCTTGTAGAATTTTTTAGATGTAGTGTACATGTAAAAAGTACACCTTTATTTTTAAAATAAATCAAGAAAGTCAAGTTCAACAAATATATTCTAGAGGCTTTATCTAAAAGTATAAAAAACACTAAATACAGATCGATACATCGAGGCAATTGCGAATTGCCGACAAAATAAACCGCAGTCAAAAGTCAAAACCGAAAGACTAGCAGCTTATCGTACCAGTGTTGCCAATAATTTTATCGAACCCACCAATATCCTACCCCATAAACGATAAATTATCGTACAGTCAAGAAACCTTTGAAAAAAATATGAAAAATGGCTATTTTTTTTTAAACGGAAAAAAATGTTACTGAAGTAAACAGTATCTATGACTATACTTAAATCTTGTACACAACTTGTATTTTTCAAATAAAAGAACAATATTATAAATTAATTACATTCTCTTCCGTCAACTTATAGAAGAACAAAAAACGTACAATCATCTTCAGCAGAGTCGGATTCGTTGAACCTTATATAAGTACATTTCTTTCGTGTATGTTCTGACTACTTTTGGCAGATGTAATTATGCAACTACTTTCCGTCCGTTTTAAACATGCGCATATTATTTATATGCAGTAGATCTCATTCGGTTTAGGTATTAAAATGTTATCAAGGCTGAATAATCCTCTAGCATTAGGTGCGGTAAAACAATAAAAATCGTGCAAATTTTCAATGGTTCTGTGCAATGTCTCGAAATGCACCCGTACCAAAATTCACCAGCTGTATTTTGCACCACTTCCAGCCAGTCGCTTAATTGGGAGTCCTAACCAACAATCCCGGCTGTTGCGTATATGCTGGTGTCGGCATTTTGTTCCTAAAAATAAACTAAACATTTGCAAGCCAAAGGTCGCTCGATGCATAGCATAACCAAAACTACTAAGTATCTTGTTGTGTATTTCTATTTTGGTGCATGATACGAAACGAACACATACAAATGTCATTATTCAAATCAGACTGGACCCATTAGTCGTACGAATCTGCTACGATAATCAAAATAATTTAAGAAATTGATAAACTTGTTTCGGAAAATTCCCGAAAATAACGAACGTAATTTTACAGAGTTGCAATTGACAAAATTCCTGAAAGGTAAACGTTTTCGTCTTTTCCTGTAAAGATATCACTCGTGCATGGTTAAATGTCGTAGCAACCACTGAAGCAAAAACCACTAGAAAAACCAATAGCCACTAAAACAAAAGTCGCCCGGCTAAAAGTATTCAAAACCGAAAGACTACCGCAGACTTCTACACAACACAGTAGAACGTGATAACAACCACAGACAAAATAAAAAGACTACGACAAAACAAAAACGGGCAGCATGCACCATATTTTTTTAAAGACAAAACTTCTTTAGCGGCGTTGTACACTTTTTTTGGGTGGGTAAAAATGTTAAACTCGCTTCAGGACACGTGGCCTGATCGAAAATTCGTAAGACGGTTGGAGAGTGGTCATATGGTTTTATTAAACTGCCCTCTCGTAGCAAACAATAGAACTACTGCGACGCTATAATTCAAACAGCCACACAGTTGTTATATATAGTCTTATCGCGTTCTGAGTTTTATAGATCAGTAACTAGTCTTTAGCGGCGTTTTTGGAATGGGTAAAAAATGTTAAACTCGCGTCAGGACACGTGACCTGATCGAAAATTCTTAAATCACAACAAATTAAAAATAATGGTTATTTTTAAATGTTCAAAAGTGTAGTATGAAAACATCAATAAATCTGAAATATAGCCTGTTTGAGTGTCGTCAGGGAGGATATTTGTTCTCGCCTCCTCCGAATAAATGCAACCACAGCATTGTTATTGTAATTATAAAAATGAGTTGGAACAGTTGTAAGGCGACGAAATTTTTTATTTCCTGACGATATAATATTTTGATTATATTATATTACAGATATTGTAATGGTAATACACCGAAACAGATAACTAAGATGGATTTCCTCATTTAATAATTGCAGAGGATTTGATGTTACGTCCTGCTGCTACGTTACGTGCAGGTTTTATAAACCTACACGACTCAAGAGTCAAGAGGAATTAGAAGAGAAGAAGATATTATATAAGAAAGAGACGAATGTATATGAGTGTGGGTAGGGTTAGCAAGGGTTAGCTTTTTACAGTTCCCTTAAAATAGATGACTCAGGCTGGTGCCAACCAGTCTGAGAGAGCATTTCAAGCTGCTGGGTACATAGCGACTGACATAAGATGCCGCTTATCTTTTTTGTTTCTTAAGAAGTTATTTCCAAAATCTCTCCTTAATATCTATCATAGGTAGAATAACTTATGAATAATGAATGTGAATATATTTCGTACTTTATTATAAACAATAGAAACATTTATATTAAATTAGTTACAATAAATATTTTACTTTAAAATAATGACGTATCTTAATTAACCTCTTAAAGACAGCAGATTTCATCGTGTTTGAGTTGTTCGATACAAATGATTTTCAAAAACTACCTGAGTTCTCGAAAATACCGATATCTCAGGAGATTGTAATTCTTAATCCCACGAGATCCCGAATTAACGATTTCGACTCGAGATTGTATTTCCAAGTTAAGACGCTATGGACTATCAATATATATCTTTTGGCTGCACGTAGACTGCGATGATCGGGGGCCAGTAGGACCTATCGCGTTTACTTTCTGTTGTATGGACGAATCTACTTATATATGGCAATTATTATTTTATCATTTAGGTACATTCTTTTTAAATAAAATTTGAACCGTCTTTAGAATAAAGTGCACTTTTAAAGCATAATAAAATAATTAAGCATAAATACAAATTTTCTAAATAGTTTAAGATCGCTGAACCCTAATAATTTATAACAACATTACTTATGATTCAAATTGTATATAGTGGATTTATTTTAACACTGGTGTACTCAATTTAATTACACACTAAACTCATAACTTCTATTAAACGTTATTCTTTCGTAGTAAATACACCGTTTATAATATTATTGTTAATTAGGTTTGTTATCCATGAATGTAAACCGTTTTGCGTATTTATTGAATTTTCTTGATTCTCGCAACCTTGTCCTGTTTTGAAATTTGTACTGCTATAGATACTTGAGTTAGTGGTACCAAGCATTGAACTTTCGCGTGAAAAGTAATTATCATTGCTGGTTATTTTCAGGTCATTTTCTGAACGTTTATGAGATTGAAAAGAATCAGTCTTAGGCAGACTATTTAAATTCAACGTGTTATGGACTTGTGTATATTGATTTGCCGGCTTATTATACAATATATTGTATTTCTCTTCAATGCGTGTATCTAAAACAAAAGTTATATCTAATTATTTTTATTATATCTAGCATTCCTTTAGTTTTTCAACTAACACTTGTGACCAAAAAGTGTCCTTTGTACGTGTAAATCATAATTGAGAACTATAATAATTGGGCATATAAGGAATAAGAATTCATGGCGCTTTTGGATTGGATATGGAATTGATGGCATTGAAATTGTTAAAGAGACACATACCATTAATTTTTTTCACGAACAAGTTGAGAAATAGGACCGTGAAGTATACACTGACCGCAATAATTATGTACTCCCACCATTCCAATCGCAAGGGCTAGAGAATATCGTATTATACTAAATAAATATCAATTTACATCAAATTTTAAACACAAAAAATATTTGATTATTTCAAATGCTTCACGTAAAATTTAAACAAAAATTCGTGTATTTTTTATTTTTCTCAAATTTCTTTGTTCTCAAGTTTCAACTTATGAGGTGATTACTAAATTTTTATGTAGATTAAGAAGTTTTTAAGCCTGGGCTCTGTGGAGTCATATTACGTTTTATTAAATAATTATACGTTTTCTTAGGCAGGTTATATTCATACCTTTAGGTATAAGAAGGTACAAGGCCCAAAGCGTGATGTACTGATACTGATATAAAGCAAAAAAAAAGATACAATTCAGCCACATTCACCCATTACGAGTGTACATTGTTAGGATTCTAAATATGTTTGTCACAAATAAATTTACTAGTTGGGTCAAAGGTAAAAACATAAACATGGTTTTTATCATCAAGGATTTTGTACGTGAATTATTCGTTTTAAAAAGTACTAACCATATTGCTTTTAGTCCCTTTGAATGTTTTCCGCGAAAACTATTCTATAACAAATAATTGCCTGTCAAAGATCTGAAAGCCTCAAAAGTCAAGATGAAGTTGTTGTAAGGAGTTAACACTTGTCTATTTTTAAGGTATCAGATTATATAAGAATTTTTGTAATGGTAGTACCTATAAATTATATAAAGTATATGTCTTCAGTTTTTTTTAAATAAAATGGTTACTATTTAGATTAATAATTGTAATGTTAATCATAGTATTATTCTGGGATAAAATACTAAGTACTCGAATAAAATGCGTGACTTGATTTAGGTTAGCCGTTAGGAGGTCTAAGTTTTCTACAATAGATCTACTCCAATCACTACAAAACCCAACAATTTAACGTATTTTGTTGTTCGAAATACAAAAAATCCTTTATGTAGGTATATTTTGTATTTTGAAATACTGGTGAAATTTAAAAATCCAAATCCATATTAATAGGCAAAATGTTGGCTACAGTGAACAGGATTTTAAAATCGCATTGAAAAAAATCCGATTCAGCTCGTCACATGCGAAGTGTTTGTGGCAGGATTTTGTTCATTTCGTGATCGATTCTATTGTGAGTCAATGGTAGGAAGATTGGTGCCATCAGCGAGATCGGCTTTTGTTTTTACTAAAACTAAAAACCACTACCTGCTGAATTCACTGGTTGGATGGACTTTGTGTTTTAGAAAGTACCTCAAAAGTAACTTCTATTCTGGTGTTTGAACTCTTTTTTTTATACTCGTAGAGGATTTTTTTGTAATAGATACAAATTTAAATGAAATCATTTTGATTGAAGCCTCTCAATAGAGGACATGCTCGTTCATGTTGTGTTGACATTGATATTTTATA